CATTTTTTAATAATATTTAACGATGGACCATGGAAATTTAATGCCCGCCCCTGGTTCCAGCCGGACAGCGAAGAGAAAAGCTGATTACGTACAAAATTATTCGCAATCGTCTGAGATTTTATAATTTATTCACTATCAGAAACGAAGCTGTTAAGATAAATTCGATCGAGTCGCGAATTAATTTCCACTATCGAAATACGGATTTGCTGATTACACGATTATTGGATTTCTTCGCTTCTTTTATATTGGTTCTAGAATAGTACAGCGAAGCATCACGTTTGCATTACTTTTTGTTCTAAATGTTTCTCACGGATAACAGCTTTTTTTATCGTTCATACTTTCTATGAACTCGTCTCAAGCGTTATGTTCATAAAATGGTGCTTTTTAATCTTTCAAACTCTACTTTTATCAATTTTCTTGGCTACCACGTTGACGGGCTTGTGTATACGTTTAGTATTGCGCCGTTAACTTTCTCTCGTTCTAAAGGGTTGATAGTTCGTCACATAGAATTTCCTAGTATGTATAAAACGAGCAGAACGAATGATTCGTGACGCGCTTAAAGCATTTGCGAATCAGTATCTTCTCACACCTTTCAACGACGTATGTAACGCTACAGAGCAAGCGGAGGAAAGCAGGAGAAAGGGGGCAGCAACGGGGTGTCCCAGAAGAACAGAGACGCCGGCGGAATATCAACGAGGACGCCATCGTACATGACAAAGGGCGTTATTCCTTCCGGTACCGCTCCCGGAAAGGGGAAGATACATCAACTCCTGTGTCATATAAAAATGTGTTTATGCGTCGCGCACCAGGAATGAAAATATGGCAGACAAAAATGTCCCGGATGCTGTCGAAATAAACGAATTACTCCTTGTTTCGCACTTTCCCCTCGAATCTCAGAAAATAGGAAAAAAAACAGATCGAGTACAATGGATAAGTAATAAATAAAATCTACAAAAAGATATAGAAGATACGAATAAATATGAGAAAAGGAATTGTTTCTGGCTCAGATATTTGATAATTCTCAAAATAGACACGAAAAAAAAATCTAACAGGAAGAGAAATAGGAAAAGAGCATACGAGGCGCGTGGAAGAATGGAGTTGACGGGACGAAAGTCATGAAAACCGGAACCGGAAACGAATCTCATCGTTATACACAGCCGTGACGTAATTCTCAAAGGAATCACGAATTTATTAGAAAAATCTACCAGAGGAATGTACTGTACTGGTTTCGACGTGCAGGTACACGACAAGAAATTATACCAAATATAAGAAACGTACTTTCATCATTCCTGCTTCCTCATAACGAACAATTTCGTACGATCGGATATCTACAGGTACATGAACTTCTGTGTACAATGATTAATTGTAATGGAAGATTCGACATGATTTCAAAGGTTTACGCTAGCAAAAGTAAGAAGCTTAAAATTATTGTATCGGTCAGGAAAGGGAGAGAAGGAAGATCAAGATGAGAAAAGAAGGACGATCGATGCAAAGGGCAGAGACGTTAGGATTTCGGATTTTCGCACGTGTTTCCAGCCTCGTCTGCGCGATTCCCGTAATCCCAGATGGCCGCCCCGCCCCCGCCCCCCTCGAAGAGAGCCACACTCGAGATTTCCTTTCTCCGTGTAAAAGGAAACGGAATTGAAATCGGCTTTTCGAAATTGCGCGTCGCCCCTCCCTCGGCCATGCTTCTCTCCGGAGAGGGAAATGCAAACACGGCTTTGCTGAGCGCGCAACTTGATCGGAAAACAGGGAAAAAGCGAGGATGATATCGTGTGGATTTACAAGAATACACGGGAAGGGAAGAATGTATCGTCTTGTCGTTTCGGGATGGTCTGAACCCGTGGATTTCGGGCTAAGAACGCAGTCTTCTCTTTTAAACCTGAACGATCTATTTAACCGAGTTATTATAAAAACAGACTTATGCGAATGACAATTTAAATCTTGCACTATGAGTTCATTATTTTCAAAGCTGAAACTTCTATTCGACTAGCCCATTTAACATTACTACAGGGCTGAGTTAAGATATTACTCAAATTAAAGATGTAGTGGTATAGCATTATATACGTTTCCTTCGGTCACAATTAAACAACAAAGAATATTTGGTTTGTGGTATATTAGCACGTAATTGTTTAAAATGATGATAATTTGTGGAAAGAATAAATTTACATGTAGATTTTGAATGTAGAAATTCTAAATGTAAATATAAAAATTATAGATAATTTTAATAGAAAAATTACTTTTCGCAACTAATTTTGCTTATAGTTTCTACTTTCGCTTTGATTTTTATTTATTATCTTTGTAGATGATTATATAATATATATTTTGAAGAATAAGTGCAAGTTAGTATTTGAAAGAGGAAAGAAGATCTGCGGTAGACTAATGGTGAATGGTGGTGCCATCTTACGACTACTTGTAGAATTATAATAAAAACATGATTTATAATTACATTCTATTATAAATAATTATTACGATCTTTTTACAACTATTGCAACGTGCTATACTGAAATATAAATGAATCTAAAATATCCAATTACATAGACAAATAAAAATATTCTTTGTATTTATAAATATATAAACTCTCCCTTACCTGTTCTGAGTTTTGTATGTATTAAAAATCTTGATATCACTGACATCAATGTTTGTGCAATAATTTATACATAACGATTAAATCTGATCAACTTGTTTATAAACATATGAATTTATTTGATACCATGATTATGATAATGCTAAAGAAAACATTGCTGTACGAAGAAGCATATAGATTAAAATAAACTGAAAGGTAAATAAAAAAAAAACCACCAATATGTTCTTTATTTTTCTTGTTTATATAAATATATCTTTGTAAAAAATAAATTGTACTCGTTACTTGTTCTTGTGATATGAAAATAAATATTATATAAAACACTATATTTCACAAATAATTACAGGTATTGGAATAGAAAGACAAAAAATGAAATTTATATTGAAACTTCTAAACTTTCTTTGCATTCAGTTTCATTTTTTAATCAAAATAAATTACTTTTATGTAAACTAAAAATATATATATGAGTAAACGTTATATTTAAATAATACTCAAATATTTTAATGTATTAATACACTGACACGCACTATTATTATGTTTATAAATGCAACACATTATAACAAATAATTTTCTTAGTTCTTATACCAGTAGTTAAACAACACAATATGAAGTGAACTCGACGCTAGTCTCAGCTAAACTGATCTTTCCTTCTGCACTTGCTACGGAGAACAGTTATGCCAGGATATACTCAACACCTCCCAGAGCATCCCTGACCAATCATAGGGAATTCCCAACCAATCCCTCGGAGTGGGTTCTCTATCACAAATGATAGAAAGGGAGAACTGCTTTTACAATACAGGCTGTGGTGGTTTACAGACGGAGCATGCTCCATTGGAATATTCTAAATCCCACGCTAAAAGGGGTGTGTCCTACTGATTCCAAGTGGGAAAAAAAGAAGGGATCGTATCTACCATCGACAACGTTGGAAAGGGTAGATGGATTCTAAAAAGCAGACTGAAACGTTAAGAAGACGGAGCATGCTCCGTTACAATACTCCAAATCCCAGAGCTAAAAGGGTGTGTCTTGTGAATTCTAACTGAATATAAGAGAAAGAATTGTCAAATTCATAATACATTCTAACATTTTATATATTTTTTGCTTTCGTGAAACTTTTGTCCTTTTAATGAAAATATACTTATATATGTTTATGTATCTATGTCACATTATAATGAAATTAGTCATAAAAAAGACATTTAAATAAAATAAAACTATTAGAAACACATAGTCAATATCTTTCCAGCTGCAACACCCTTTTTCATCAGTCACCCCTTTTTTAGGAATTAAAGGGGTGACTGGTACCCCTTTCAAAGGGGTTAAAATGTATAGGGGATGATTTAATGTTGCAGAAAAAAACGTTTGTGCCATATAAGTTATATATAAGTTATAATGTACTAAAAACTATAGTTTTATAGTACATACACGTTGTAAACTAATCTTACTAAAAAATTATAAGCAACTAAATAATTTATACATTAAAAATTATAGAAAATTATATCATGTAAATAATATATCTTTTATATATCTACCACTTATAAATATATAAACTTATCAATCTGTGAAATTATTAACGAACAGAATAATTATTACCCGTTTAAATATTTCTTTGGAAATGAAAATAAGAAACGAAAAGATAACCTTACTTAAAACAAATTAAAACATAACCTAATAGATTAAGAACTTCGTAGATAAAGTAAGCAGAATCGAAATAACTTCTTAAATAAATATCAAATAAATAAAAGAACTTAAAAATATAAAATATAACATACCTGAAAAAAATTATTTATTTTTTTAATAACTACACTATAATTTTTTCATTTTTATTGTAGATTATAAATGACAAATCTTTAAAACTCAAAATCGATATACATACATATGATCACAAACTACGTTGAAATTAATAAAAAATTATTAATAAAATGGAAAAAATTTTACGTTTGATCATTGACTATGTACAGTATAGACCTGATATTACACGGGACTTCAAGTCTCACGTTCTGAAATACCGACCTAGAAAATAATTAGTCTTTCTTACGCCCTCTACAATTTACTTCGGCGAATATAAGAATTATTTATCTATGATCAGAGTACTTATACTCTATTCTTCATAATATCAAGTAATATGTAATCATTAATTAAGTATAGGTACTCGTCTGTGATATATATATGTAATTAACAATTAATTTAAGAATACAAAAATGAAAATTCAAACGAAAACAAAGATTTAAAAATATACATTCTTATGTTTCATATATATGAAACTATAATTTTATTTGAAACTGCGTAAGTGAAATATTTAACTATTACTATACAGCAATATATTATTTTGATAGTGTACAATGCTTCCTGAAGTATTATAAAAATATAGAATTCTAGACTTCATTGTGATTACAGAATATCCTGTTCTATATTTTATCTATAATTTCATATAAGACTTTAGTTTTAATTTAAACCAGTACTATACTGAATCGATAGTGGCGCATATGTCACGAAAATGATAATCTGAAAACGTGGGACATGGAAAAACATTGTATACCACGTCTATTCTGTATCTCGTCTGTGCTTTTATACTATAAAAAATACACACTTCCCTACCGCAGATATAACATCCCATTTGATACTTGTCATATTGTCATCTTTCGTATATGAATCGTCTGCTATATAATGATGAATAGTATTTAAATTAAATTTACATAATATTACTGAAAAGATGACATTATATCATTTTGGAAATTGTTTAGCTTTAGTTTATGTCCCATATTATCTTACCTATAAATATTCAGGGTTGTAAGTACATTCTAACCATTTCTAACCTATTTATAGTTATTATTATTTGATCGTTATTATCTTGGAATTTATTTTGATTTCAATGATTGTACTACGTATGACAATTAATATCATGTGATAATTATACTATATTAATTATAATTTAATTATAATTATAATTTATTTCTTAATCTATTTATCATACGAATAACACATTTCGAAGTATATATATAAACTTTCAGATCAGAATATGGTGCATTTTGGAAATGTATTCAAGCTGGAGGTATTTACATATTTACACAATTAGTAAAAATGCTGGCACTTGCTACTTTTTTCCCTACAGCAGATAACGTAGGAGGTGAAGGTTATGATTTAATTGGTGTATGTATTTATATTTTTAATTTGCTTGTATTTAATTATTGATTAACTTATTTAACATATAATAAACTATGTAGGAATTTCTAAAGTCTTCGATAGATTTAGCTGATTTAGTAGGAATTTTATTATCATTGAACAATATACCTGGTAAAGGGCATGCAAAAATTTTAACTGCTGGAGTTGGATGGGCTGGAGCTGAGGTATTACTTACTAGGTTCCTCCTATTATGGGTAGGAGCTAGAGGCGCAGAATTTGATTGGAAATACATTCAAAAGAGTCTCGAATCTAATATTAATTTAGTGAGTAATAATATACTACTACTTTCGCAGGAAATTTTTTATTAAAACTTTATTTTTTATGTATATAGGTACAACATATAACTACAGCAACACTTGTATGGTTATGGTCACGACATGATCTAAAACGAAGTTTAGTTCCAATAGTAGTTGGTATGCTTATACTTACAGTATATAGGCCACTTATTTTAGATTTTCTCCTAGTATTTTTTTTAACTGGCCCATGGTCAGCCCTTATTGTTAAAGCTACTACTACTTTCATCATGGGTGTTACGACATTATATATGTATGCTGGTCTTGCTCATTCCATAGGCATCTTTTGAAGAACATTATGTGTATGTTTTAAAAGATCAATATTTTAATCATATTACCATACACATTACAAAGTAAATCTTATTCTACTACTAAATTATGTCATTGTTCTACTAACATTTTATTTTATATAATAAAAAAAATTGTACCAATAACAATATTATGCATAGAAACAATCCTTTATTTTCTTTTATGTTACATTTCGATATTTAAACTTGGCATTCTTTTCACAATTTTCAAAACATAATTTGTGTTGGAAAAACGATTAAAATATTATTATTCTGAAGTATCATTAAACTTATAAATAAGAAAAACAAGAATGTAAATTTGGGTATATTTGTTAAATATGATTGTAAATACTTATCTTTTTAGGAACAGTAATTTTTTTAATTTTTCAGAGAATAATACAAAATTGTAATTATGTTGTTACTAGAAATGGATCTACATTATTTCTAATCTTCATCTAATACTTTACATATTTTTAGCAAGTCTTTATACATATTCAATGCACCCTAAATCTTATGATTATAATAAATTATACATATCACTTGTATGATTAAACTACTAAATTGGTAGAACGAGATAAATCAAAATTTCAAAACGTCTAAATTTATCATAATCTCTTCATCATAATTAGCCATTTGTAATAACATCATTCAAAGACAGTATAAATATTAATGTACAAAACGTAGAATAGTCCGTTTTAATACCTCTAAGATGGAGGACATTGGAATCTTCTAATTCCATCTCCTTCTGATTGACTATCGCTATGATCAGAAGAGTCATCATCCGAAGAATCATCAATATTATCATCATCGTCGTCGTCATCATCATCCTGATTTTGATCACTAGAAACTTGTCTTACGTTTAGGCTCTACATCACAATGTAAAATGATCAAATAAATTTCTGTAAAATTTTGTACTTTTATAATTGTCAATTTATGCTAATCAATACACACTAGTCTTACTCTTTCCGTATGACGCAAATGTCTTAATAATATCCAAAGCATTTGACTATCGAATGCATCGGATTCGGTAGTAGTTTCTTGTGCCCTGCTCATTACGTTAAATGTAACACACTAGAATAGAACATATATAAAATAATAACATACATATGTTTATATCACAACAATTTTCATAAATTACACATACTTTTTCTATTAAAGGTACATTTTCTATTTTTTGAAGTGAAGGTGGATCTTCGCAAGAAGGTGCCCAAACTTTTACATCACAATCAAGCCCACTTGTTGCAAGAATAGGAATATGTGGATGAGGTTCTAAACAATTCACCTATACGACAGAGTGTTATTAAACTTTATCATTATATTTTTAATAGATTACATACCACTCCTTGTTCATCTCCAGGCATCCAATTTACGATTGCTTCCGTATTCTTCTCCCAGATAAATATATTCCCACAATCCGACCCAGATATAACAAATTCACTCTTTGGCCCAAAGAAATTAACTCCCTTCACTATGAAATATGAAATATAATAAGTGCAAATTTTCATTTAATTCTTGTAAAATGTACCAAACAATAATATATACCAGTAGCATTGTTCCTATGACCTTCATATTTATGAGCAAAATCACCAGGTTGTGGCGATATTGCATCAAATAAATATATATCTTCGTCGTTATAAGATGCAAGAACTTCAGTTCCATCATAGTTGTATAAAGCACAAGTTACATGTACATGTTTCTTCTCAGTCTGTAATTCATGAAAATTAGATTACAAAATAGATATATAATTATATTTTTAATTGTATAAAATCCAAAAAACCTACCAAATGTGAAGGACATAATTCGTGTATTGGTTTAGATACATTTCGTCGGTCATATACTCTAACCCATTGAGACCGACCAGCAACGCAAAATTCGTTGCTTTTGAGAGGATTACAATGAACGCTGTACAATTGCACGTGGAAAGAACCGTCTCTTACAACTAGCAACCTATACAATAAAATTGTTTTTATACATTGTGAAAAAATATGTTTCACAAAAGGCTACTTAAAAGACGTACTTTGTTGGTTTCTCTTCTCTAATATCTATAGACAAAACTTTTGCATCTTCACCAACAGAAACAATAACATGTGGCGTATCGGGATGAAGTGCAAGTTTATGAGTTGGCGCATTGTGCGTAGCTAATTTTCGTGATACGCCACGTCTAATATCTAATAAACGTACTTGTCCATCACGAGCACATGTAGCCATTAAATTTTCTTCATCGAATGGTAGCCATTTAGCCTGAAAAGAAACAGTCGCAATGATATACATTTCTGTAACAATAAAAAAGTAAACAAAGATAAAATATATTAACATATTTTCTAAATAGAAATATAGTTCATTACAAAATATATTTCAGTATACATACTTGAAACATATTACTCCTATGACCACTAGCAAAAGAATGATGTTTTTTTCCTATTGCCCAGTCCCATATGACTACATATAAATCATCAGAACCACTGGCTAATAAATTTCCTTTTTTATTAAAATTTAAAGCATTAACACAACCCTAAAAAGATTATATAATAAAGATTGCATTCTAGTTTTTTAAGTACAAAGTTTAAAACATGAGACATGTACCTCATGCTCTTTAAGTTTGTACATAAGTTCAAAGTGTTCTACAACGTGTAAGGAACCGTAATATCTACGTTGAAACGATGGATTAATTCCCATTTCACGGTGAAGAAGTTCTGGCACTACAAACCAGGTTGGCTTTGGTCTTTTCTTCTTCAAACATGCAGGAGTATCTGACTCTGATTCTTCTTCACTAGCTATTTGTTCAGTATCAAAATTTGAGTCATTTGATAAGAGAGACTCTTCTAATTCTAGCAAATCCTGTTCTGTTACATTTGATAAAAGAGGCTTTTCTAATTGTCCCAATAAAACCATAAAAAAAAAAATAAATGAAATTTATAAAATAAGGATAATGAATGTGACAATACATACCAGCATATCCAACATGTGAACTATCATTATCAATTTCTAGTCCTTCTTCATGATTCTTTGTTTCCCTAAGAGTTGCAGCTTCTTCAGTTTCTGCATTTAAATACAATATAGTATCAAAATCTTTCATATATTACATGTCTCTTTTCAACTATTTACCTGATCTCATTTCAACATCTTCAGTAGTTTCTTCACTACAACTATCCTTAGGCTCTTTTACCAATTGTGCATTATCAACACTTTTATTTTCTGATTTTGATTTATTACAAACATTTTCATTTAATTTTTGATGTTTACTCGATTCTTCATTAAATATATTAGTGTCATCACAATTATCATCATCTACTTGAGCTAGAAATTAAAATCAATAAATGTACATTAAATAATTATAAAAATTTGGTAACTATCAAAATAATAAAATATTATTACAACACCTTTTGAAATACTTCTTTTACACTTATTTTGATTACTAGAAGGAGAGCTTGGATCACTATCATTTGACGAAATTAGAATATTGTCTTGTGAGGTGGTTGCTTCTGACAATGTTGTAGAATTAAAAATAGAAAATGATGTTTCTCTTAAAGAGTTTTCATTCTGATTTTCTTCAAATGTATTCTTATTAGCAACATCACATTTATTATCAACCAAAGGTTCAACAAGTTGTATTATCTCATTTGTTTTATTATTAGATGTAGATAGTTCAGTATCATTTACTTCTTTACACACATTATGGCAATTTTTAGAATCCATCTTTTATTATCATTAAACCAAGGTTTTGCATATAATAAATGTTTCACTTGTATTTTTCATCTACCAATATCTATATTAGAATTTAACTTTACCTGTAATATAAAGTTAAATGAATATTGTATTTAACCCAGTATAGTTATACATAGCGTAATCATTATGATGATATAACCAATTAAGATTTGCTTTTTTACATAAAAATAGTTGAAAATATAGAGAATAAATGAAAAAAGATAGAATGAAATCTTTCTATTTTACATCTTATTTTCCAATATATTAATTTCAAAAATCACTAAGTATGCTATTTTGTTTCTGGATTAATAATTATTTTTATACAATAGTAGAGTTTCAAGAAGAATTCTAAAAAAATATTGATCTTATTTCTTTATTTAAAATTCTAACCAATAAATAATATTCCGATGATTCTCTTGCTTTTAGTATTGAATAGCATTTAATAACCTTTTATTTTATTGAGATTTTCAATATCTTTAGAGTACATTATCGGTTTTTTATATGAAAATCCAATCTCAATTACTCAAATATATGCAGGTATACTTACAGATCCTTCTTTAACCAATCTTCTTGGAAACGAAGTCTTAAAAAAATATTTCATTCTATGTTTTCCATTTATTTTTATATAAATTTTATCTGATATTTAGCTCTATTACTACAATCATACCTTGTATACTGTCACTTAAGTCTCAAAAAAGAAGATATTTCTTGAGTAAAATAAAATTTCATTAAGAGAATGGATATTTTAGGAATAAATAAATTATATATTCAGATTCCTGAAAATTATCCTATCAATTTTTAGTACTACATACAGGTACAGTGTTGCAAAATATAAACAAAATATTTAAAAAACGTAAAATCAACAGTTTGATCACGTAAAGTTATTATAAATTCCACTGTTTAATGCACCAATAATTATAGATTATTCTGTTATTAAATAAATTTTTAAAAATACGTGATTTTGATCTTTTTAGTAGAACATAAGGATATAGAAAAATATGTACATCTACAAAATGTTAACATAAGCGTAATCTTATAGATTTACTGCGTTTTACAAAATACAGTTAACTATAACCATCGACAAGTGACAGAATCAAAATAATAATTACACTAACCTGTCATCCGTAAAAATATGATATTATTTTTATGCATATGTAAATATACGAATAAAAAATTCGCACATTTACGTGTTATATAAATTTATTGTCCATTCTCTTTTTTCTTGTAAATGAAATTAACTGATAAAATGGCTGATACTTATGAAAGTGTTTTATTGTTACCTTACAGCAGAGCTGTCGAGCTTAAGTTCCGAAGCTTGAACAGTTTCTCGCACTCTGCTTAATACTGCGGGAAACACGTGTGTACATTAACACAAACTTTTTCTCTATTGGTTCCTGTTTAGGAAACGAGATATAAAGAGACAGAATTTATAATATCTCTATTGAACTATTTCTGAAATTGTCCTGTTTTATAACGATGACGCGTAGCGGCTGCAAATCCGCATTTGGACCACGCTTTGGACAAATAAGATTCACCTATGAAAAAGTGATCAACATGATAATAAAAAATAAGTGACGAATTTTATAACGAGGCAATTTTCATGATTTAGGAATCATAGATGGAGCAGCTATTGCACAAAATATTTATATGTATATATGTACTTCTTTATATTTAATAATATAAAATTCAGATATTACATTAAATCAGATTATTATATTATCTTACCGTTTATCAACAATAAAAAATCTATTATTTGGAATTTTATGATTTTAATTAAATTCGCAATATTTGTTAATATTTTATACGTGGAATTTAAAGGGAATTGTGAACTATCCTGAACATGTGAGTATCAAGTTATTCTCCGATCAAAATGTAGTTTGTATATATATAATACTTCTCATAATACTACAGACGGGATACTTGTAATAGTAGTGATAATACATACAGTTCGTAATACCGCATAATTAAAGGACTTAGGAATTAAAAACTTTTCAGAAAAGATCTTCATAAAGTTACAAGCTTCTTAAAGTATGAGAATTCTTTTTGAAACACGTGTTTCATAAATTTTCAGAAAGTGTGTGTACTGTTAAAATTGAGATTATCTTATTACAGATAATAGAAATTAATTTTTTTGTAAAATGAAAAAATGCAGACTTTATTTGTTTTAAATAAATCTTCGTAATGTTTGTGTACTTTTAAAAAAACTTTCAATTATTTATAAATGTTACTTAGCGTACAATGTACAATACATAAAGAATAGATTCATGCAGGTTATGTATAAACAGAAGTGTTTAAGAAATGGCCAAAATATTAAGCTTCTCCCGGACTATACGAAATAATTGGAAAACATCTTTGGTGACATGTGCAGCTGTAACATATGGAATTTCATATGGCAAGAAAGTATACAAGTAAGATACAAAGTTTTAGTCTTATAATTGGTAAATTCATTCTACTGTTGTGATGACATTAAAAAATGGTAATATTTTTAGAGCTAACCAATTAATGAGACAATATTGTGAAAGTGCATCACAATATGGTGATTTTCCACTTCCAACAAATATAAAACCACGCCATGTAACCATTATTTTAAATCCAGCTGCTAAAAAAGGGTTTGCTTATGTTTGATTTATAAATTATGTTTCTACTTATAGTTTAATTATTGATTAACTATTATCCTTATTTGTAGGAAAGCTAAAAAGTTATTTCAAAATTATTGTGAGCCACTTTTGCATTTAGCTGGAATTGCTGTAACTGTAATACGGACAGACTCACAAAATGATGCTCGTAAAATTATAATGAATTTAGATACACCTACTGATGCTATCATAGTTGCTGGAGGAGATGGTACTTTATCTGATGTTTTAACTGGATTAGTAAGAAAATATGATCTCAATTTTAATTCAGTCAAACAGTGTCCCATTGGTATTGTACCATTGGGACAAACAAACAAAATTGCAAAATCTTTGTATCATGAATATGATTATCTATCTGATATAAAACAAGTGATAGAGGCAACAATGGCAATTATACATGAGAAATCAAAAATGATGGATATAATTGAAGTTAAACCTATTGATGTATGTTTCTGTTATATACATAGCAAATTTTTAACTTTTTCAGTAACTAAAACTCTTATTTTATAATTAAAGAATAATCCCGATGAACCTGCAAAACCAGTTTATGCTATGGGAACAGTGGAATGGGGTCTATGGAAAGATGCAAATGCTTCTGCTAGCAAGTATTGGTACTGGGGATTTTTAAGAAAGTACATATATGTTTTTCTTCAATATTTTTGAATTTGCACGATATTCACATTAATGTAAATTTATATTACCTAATATCATGTATTTAATGTGCAGATATGTGACTTATGTATTTAATGGTTATGAAGAAAATTTAAACAAATATTGTAATGCAGTATTAAAATATACACTTCCTTGTGAAGGTTGTTCTCGTTGTAGTCAAAACAATCTAATTTCTAATTTAAATACAAGGTGGTGGCATGTATTTCTACCAAGATATAATGCCTCTAGAGGTATGTTTTGTTATATTCAGTGCACATAATATCCTGAAATAAGCACAGGATACCATATTTTTTAGATAGCATTGATTTTAGTAAAAGAATAAATGAAAAATGTGACGTTCTCCATGAACTACCTATATCAACTTGCGAATTGCATATAGCAACTTCCAATGTAGACAAGTTACAAGTTGAATCATCACCACCATCTTTAAAAGTGAAAATTGGTAATTAAACTAATATCATATGGAATAAAATTAAATATATATAATCAAGATCATGGAAAATTATCTCTATTATGTAGGTCCAAAGGATATCAACTACTTTTCTTTCGTGTTTGGAGGTTGGGAAAAAGAAAAAAATAATAAACCGTTATGTAATCAAATACTGGAAGCCAAAAAAATTGAATTAACTCCACAAAAGGTAAAATTTCATAGTTTGAATATTCCAAATTTTAAAGATTATTTAATTTCTATATGTTGATTCATTTATAGACCGATAAAAATCATACATTATACATTGACAATGAGGAGTATGAACTAAAGGCAGTTGAAATGAAGCTGTTTCCGCAGGCAGTAAAAGTATTTTGTCCTCAACTGAACAGTTAACAAAATATATATATATATATGTAAATAAAATTTAAGATCTGTTTATTTATTTTAAACCGTCATGTCTTACTATATTGAAAAAGAAGTAAATATCAGTAAAAAAAATTAACAACATTTTTTATTATTATATCATAAATATAATTTATGATCGCTTCTAAATGTATACTGTTATCACTTGAACATGACACTTGTGAATATATACTCTATTTTTACCTACTTTGTAACACTTATGTTACGTCATATTTATTTTACAGTATGATATTTATTGTTTTAAGCCCTATTAATTTTTTCTAAGATACTACATTGTAAATAGCAGAAAGCGCTCTGCTATTTGTATCACATTCATCAGATAATATTTTGAATGTACTTTTTTGTTATAAAACATTCCTAATAAAAAGTTTATATGAAATTTAACACAGATAAAATGCAATCTTTCTAACAATTAAAGAAATTCGTGAATATTTTTAAGATTTTGCAGAAGGTATTACCATTATCATCACAACACATATTTGTTTCAAAGTCCTTTCGAGTAATATTAAAGAAATCTAAAAAAGAGAGTGGAGAATTGTTTGGCACTTTACATACTTTCTATGGTTCTGTCCATCGTGATCTGGTGTTTCTTCTAACCAGCATTGTACAAGAAACAAGACTAGTCGACTTTTCTGATAATGATTTCCTGAATTTTCCATATATCTATATATTTATACCTTGGTATTCTTGTTAACCAATCGACATTTTCTTTGTACATATAATATAACGTAATACTATATAACATAATACATTAATAGGTAATGTAATATAACGTAATACTACCAGGTATGTAAATATGAAACCGGAATTTTTGTATAGAAAATACACGTTTATTGTATGAAAATGATTAAAAATATTTTATTCGAAGTATTGCCCATCGCTAGCTATACATTTTTCCCACCTGGCAATTGGTGGATGCCACGCCAAAAAAACTGTCGCTCTTTTGAGGCAAACCAGTCATCGAGCCATTTTCGTAAGAAGTGAAGTGTTGGTCAGAAAGTGCGTGTCCCATCGATGCAAATAAATAGTAATCGGACGGAGCCAAGTCTGGTGAGTAAGCCGCGTGCGAAAGTATTTCCCAATTGAACGCTTCAATCGTTTCCTTGACCGGTTTTGCTGTATGTGATGGTGCATTATCATGAAGCAAAATTACTTTGTGTTGCCTTTTTTGATATTCTGGTCGTTTTTCACGCAAAGCTTGATTTAAATCGATCATTTGTTGTCGGTAGCGCTCAGTATTAACGGTTTCGCCAGGCTTTAACAGCTCATAATAGATCACACCCTTCTGATCCCACCAAACACAGAGCATTGTCTTCCGTCCATAGCGATTTGGTCTTGTAGTCGATGTCGGTGGTTCGCCTGGAGCTACCCATGGATTCTCAAAATATATCCACTTTTCATCGCCAGTCACAATTCGGTGGAGAAATGACTCTTTTGTATCTGGCAAGCAGCATTTCGCAAGTGGTTTTTCGGTTTTCCTGCTGTCTTTCATTCGGTTCATGTGGAACCCATTTTCCCACCTTCTGGATCTTTCCCATGGCTTTCAAACGCATGAAGACGGCTTCTTGTGTCACGTTTAATTGATCAGCGAGTTGTTGTTGCGTTTGAGCGTCATCCTCATCCAACAATGCTTGCAATTCGCTGTCTTGAAACTTTTTCGGTGGTCTTCTACGTTCTTCGTTCCTCGCGTCAAAATTGCCACTTCTGAATTTTTTAAACCACTCAAAAGCGCACTGTGATTTACCAGGAGCATGCTCACCGTAAGCTTCGACAAGCATTCGATGCGATTCTGCAGCAGTTTTCTTCAAATGGTAACATAAAATCAATGCTGTTGTACGAAACTTGTATTGTTCTGAGTCGAAAATGTTTGTGAGATCTACATTATCAGCTAGGGCCATCTATAGGCAAATTCCGGCTTCATACTTACAGGCCTGATATATAATGTAATACTAAATAACATAATACATTATAACGTAATATAACATAACGTAATACTATATAACGTCATATAATATAACGTAATACAATATATCTTAATAGTATATAACGTAATATAATATAATGTAATACATTATAACGTAATATAATATAACATAATGCATTATAACGTAATATAATATAACGTGATATGTTATAAAGCAATATAATAGAACAAGATATAATATAACAAAGAGCAAGAGAGAAATCTACATGGTTGTATATACAAATCTGGATACTCCGGCAGTGAGAATAATGTTTTTATTGACCGAATGATGTTAGTCAATTTATTCAAAATAAATCGCTTCAATCGAGAAGTTAGGATTCGTTGTGCATCGTGTAATGATAGCCCGAAGCCGATTGTTTCTGTATCTTTTTAATTTAATTCGTCGAAGAACGCTTTAGGTGTTGTCAAATGAGTAACACATACCGACGAATTGATAGAACAACTGGATTGTGGTGGTCAATGGATATTATTAATACTTATCATATCTTTTTGTTAAGCCGTAATATAGTTCATGTTTATAGAACGCGAAAACATGGATGGAATTCAGCAATCTCGTAAGTCCGTTCTTTAGTGAAATTATTTATGGTGATAGCTATGTAATCCAAAGTGCGCTCGGAAGAACTATGAGAAGACTATTATAAGCGAGTTTTAAGGGAATATAATCTACTATTGATATGAACGTATCCCGATTTATCCGGGACTTCGCGTTTATTCAAGGATGGCAGGTGTCACAGATGGAATCCGACTAACTAAGCGATAAGATAGCGAAATTCCAAGCGCCTTAGTATGAATGACCACCGGGGTAGCATCCGGTCACTCTACTCGTTCTCAGAAATATATGATAAGTACGACCGAAGCCTTTTCTCACTCCCACGAATAAAAGAATTTAAATACTCCTCCTAAAATCATCCAAGTCAGTCTTGAACAGTCGCGCCTAGAGCTCGGAAGTGTATTATAAAGCAGAAAAAAAAATAAAGTTTCTTTTTCTTTTCTTAAATTTCTTCTTATTTTAGGTTACACAGAAAACGCGTAAAATAGTTGGTTCCGTTCGCCCATGTTAACGATTCTACGAAGAACGTCCGAAAATAAATCGCAAGCATTGAGACCTGCTAGCCGACGACATTGTAACATCAACCACATCTCAATCCACATCAGAGACCAGGCCACATATCGACGGCAAGATAGCGATCAGATGTCTACACATCCTCGGTGCGTATGTCACGTAAAATTAAGACTTAGATTTTAAAGACAAGAAAGTTGGGCCGTAACACAACTGCTATCTTTATTTTCTATCGAACTTTATTGAATAGCACCGTTTACACGATTGATCTGAGAGATGTTGACTGATGATAGGTTTTAGTTCCAGTGCCGAGGTGTTGTATTATTACGGAGGAAAGCTCGGTGTGGGTGTGCCCCTTTGAACTAACAACGCGAATTCGTTGTTCACACTTTTCGTTAGGTTCGAAGATGGTATCCCACTGGGGGTAGCCATCCACATGTTATAATACTATATCACTAAGCTATAATATTTTACCAAATGTCCTACTGGGCAAATTGTAAAATGTAAATAAATAAATAAAAAAAAAAAAACTTTTCGTTAGGAAAAGTGACATTGTTTATGGGAAAAACATTTGTAAGAACGTGTAATAAACCTGTTCCAAGGACCATACATAAACTGATAAAACTTACAGGAATAATAAACTAAAATTTGTTTATGGTGGGTCCTTGAGGTTATTGGCCTCTAATGTGGACTGACGTCACACGTACCCTTCCTAGTCTACTAACCTTCTTGTGATCCAATCGAAAACAAGATCTATCGCCCTCACTTTCCTAGCCAAAATTGTTCTTAACGAATCAGCTCATCTCGTGTCCTTAGACACACCCATAACTAGCTTTCCTCCGCCACAACAAACATTTGTAAGAACGTGTAATAAACCTGTTCCAAGGACCATACATAAACTGATAAAACTTACAGGAATAATAAACTAAAATTTGTTTATGGTGGGTCCTTGAGGTTATTGGCCTCTAATGTGGACTGACGTCACACGTACCCTTCCTAGTCTACTAACCTTCTTGTGATCCAATCGAAAACAAGATCTATCGCCCTCACTTTCCTAGCCAAAATTGTTCTTAACGAATCAGCTCATCTCGTGTCCTTAGACACACCCATAACTAGCTTTCCTCCGCCACAACATCGTCACTAAACTTCACTTATTCTTTATGTTTAGAATAGGCAACATATCTTTAATGGTTTCTACCCTTAGATTAGTCGCGTACTTGATTTATACATACCTATCGGTGTAACTAGGTTCTAAATAAAGTTGTTGGAGTGAATTGTGATTGTGATTATTGAATTCGTAATAAAATTTAATAAAAAAAAAGTTAATAGTTGTGTTACGGCTCAACTTTCTTGTTTTATCATCTAACCATCAAGTTTACGTGACATTTTGGCGATCCTGCCAGGATCCATCAGGTTCAAGTAAACGGAACCACTCATTTTACGATCAACCTTGAAGATTGAGGATCAACGGACCACTGCAACAGGGCAAACACTTTTGACGTTTCGACAAAGGAACATCGCAACGGAACCTTTCCTACGGGCTAAACGATCAAGGTGAGCAAACTCTGGATTCTTTTACCAAATACAGGACGAGAAAAGGCAGCTTCTCTAGCGATTCAAGCACAGATAGCACAAATAGTACAATCAGTATAGTAATGGCAACGCCACGAAAGGATACAATCGAGACTGTTGGCGCCGCTTTAACTAGTAGTGAGATAGACCCAACAATTAGGGCTATATTAGACGCGATGCAGAAACAACACGAAGCTCTTAGTCAACAAATTAGTATACTCACACGACGTATTGACGAAATTCAACGCGCAAACGAAGAAAACAAGAAACTCGTAGCAGAGATCGCACTAGTAGGGGAAAGTTTAGCAAGAATACATATGGAAAATGTATCAGAAACCAGTTCCCTAATAACCTCAGACGAAACAACCCACACCGCTAGAGACCAATTGGCCCTTCGAGGACTTCCTCCAATACCTCAGATACCACCTCAGCTATCCGAAGACAGAGCTTTCACTCAACGTTTTGCACAACCAGAGCTTAAAGCTAAAGACGCACTAAGATGTATCCCACAACTTAACGGCGAAGACGATATAGGAGTAGAAGAATTTATTAAAGAAGTCGGAGAGATGAGGGCAATGTGTAGTGAACAATATTTACTATTGAAAATGATTAAGATTGATAAAATTTCGGGGAAAGCAGCTATGGCAATACGTAATATACGTATCTCAGAATACGCAGATTTATATCAAGCATTACGGCAGAACGTAGCAACTGAAACTTCGATTCGTGAACACCAAGACCAATTACGAAAAATTAGACAAGGATTTAACGAAAGCGTACAAAGCTACATTATTCGCTTTAGGAAACCATTCAGCGAACTACAATATAGTATTGCTAACGAATACCCAGACGAAATAACCAGACGTGCCATGAGCGACATAATTCAAAAAGATTCAGTAACAGATTTTATTCAAGGATTAAAAACAGAAATAGGACTAGTTCTAGTTGCCAATCCGCCGTGCAACGTTATTGAAGCCGAGAAACGCGCCGCCGAAATCGAAAGATATTTTCGTGAACGGAGAACGCGCAAGCAACACTGACTCTGACTCTGAATGCGATGTTCTATTTGAGAATGAACTATGAATCGGATCTAGCGAGAAACCAGAGTACTTAAAGATTTATCCCAACGACAAAAGCTTCTACCAACTGAAGAAAACACAATTTGGAGACTACGAACCTCGAGCATGGCTCAATAAGATAGGGAATATCCTTCAAAAGAATAAAAAGATAGGGTTTGGAGATTGCGACTTCACAGAAACCGAGAAGAATGAAATCAAGAGAATGATTCTGTTCTACAACAGTATCGATAAAAATAAAGAACCAGACCAGGCTACACACCGCGGGCAAGATGGCAACCAGATGTCTTCGGATACTTACTGCGTACCCTCAATAGTCTCAAGTACCTTCCATAAATCTCAGGAATTTCCTAGTCGAGGTCCTTCAAACCGAACAAACATCTGTTTCCGAAGCATTTCTAAAGACCATTGTCTACTACGGCTTGACAAGGGAAAGTTAGTTTTTCTAACGTACGATGCAACTTTCCTCCTACTAACCACTTTCCATCGAGGGCGGCCAAGACCCTTCCTAGTCCACCAACATTCATTTAACCAATTAACAACGAAGCCTATTTCCCTCACTCTCTTAGCCAAAATCGTCACCAACAAATCCGATGGTCCCGTGCACTAGACACACCCATCCTTAGCTTTCCTCCGCCACAGCATCGTCAGCGAACAGCAGTGATTTTCCATCCTCCGTACAGTCAACACCCTTTGACCGTCGTCGAACAGTCAACATCCTTTGACCGGGAATACACCCATAGATCAGTCACTCACTCATCTCGTACATACGCACCAACGTAACTGTCTTCTTTACAAGTTGTTAGAATAAACGGTGATATATAACTTACTATACTGTGTTACGTTCATTTAACCACCTCTGTTATCTTAACCGAAACAGGAGAACAACTATTTCGCGGCGTCGATTAACCGAATCGTAGCGAGAATTTACGCCTCTCGCTGACGCGTTTTCTTAGCGACCGCGTCTCTCCGCGAACGGTCGTAACACGGACATAAAAGCCAATATCAGAAAAGCCAATTAACCTAGACATAATCTGCAGGAGCACACATTTAAACAAGAAGATAAAAACAAGCCCCATTAATCAGACACAAGTTGCGACCTATTGTACAATAATGTTGTACAACCCTTTTCTCCGGTGTCATTCTATTATTGTAAGTGCTAAATTTATAGTAAAGTTCAATAAAAGAAAATTAATAGTTGGATTACGACTCAGCCTTCTTTTCTCTTACAATCCAAGTATCAATTTTACATGACAACTACATGGTTGTAACGTCAATTCACATCAGAGACCAGGCCACACACCGCGGACAGGATGACACCCAGATGTCTTCACATCCTTGGCGCTCAGACTCAAGCATTGCAATACGAGGATTAAATTAATTTCTATTCTTTTAAGCTGACCTGTCTAAATATGAATTTTGTGAGATGTCTTGTATCTCAATTACCTTCCTTGTTCATTATTCTTACATTCGCTGTATTCGTGGAAGGAAATCGTTAACAAATTTTAAAGTACGACGTAGAGGAACATGTTTAATACGTTAAAAATGAAAATTATCGAACGAAATAGAAAACAATATTTGTAAGAATGTGAATAAGTTCATTGTAACTCGCTAATAACTTTGGCAATTCTCAATAAAAAAAAATTACATTGTAAGTAGATTTTTGATAAATATAATCCAAGATACATGTGGGAAGAAGAATGTGCGGTTATTTGCTAAAAGCTTCAGGAGTGCATAGGAATATGAAATCGTTGGGCGAAAACGCAGGGCTTGTTTTTTCAGCGATCGTCTTTTACTTATTGTAACGTCAAATCCTTCACGACAACTAAACTGCCTTTTGTACTCACCTAATTATACTCCTAGCAACAGCTCATAGATGGCGAGCGACACTTAATTGCGGTAGTAAGCATATATGTTAAATTGTTCCATTCTTACGCTTCACGAGCGCGAGTTCCAAGTTAAATGGATAACCCCGTATGGTTGGTGTTTATATATAAACTGGGTATATCAAGCGTTCTTCTGGTTCAAAAGTAAGTTATTTTCCTTGAATAAAAAGATTACTCTATTTTATGTGAAATATATTATGATTTTATTAATTAAAGCAATCTTTGTAGCAGTTGTTTTAATAAAATTTTATAACGAATATAAATATAATTCATAAATAAATTTTCACATTTTCTCTTGAAAGTTTGTAACATTTTATTCAAAATGTTTTTCAATTCTATTTATCAATTCATCTTTTTTACCAGATAATTTTAATCCCAATGTCTCTAACATATGCTTTAATTGTGACACAGTAAAAGTTGCTATCTGTTAAGAAGAAAATAAATGTATTACGAATTGTATTTAAATATTATTTAAACTTGATCCATTAATGTACCTGTCCTGTTCTCAAATATTCTTGAATTTTATTCTCTGAAAAATCACTTGGTTTCATTACTTTGTTACTTTTTTTATGTTTTGTCTCTGGTGGATCATCACTTATATCGTCTGTCTTTTTCATAAATACTTTATCATATTCGTCTAATAAATCATTTACCAGTTTATACATCTTGTCAGTGTTTGGAACTAAGATAAAATTTTAAATTATGTTATAAAATGTTGTACAAATTATAATATGTGTATTCTTAACAATATGACTTACGTGTATCGTCAGGTAGAGGCTCAGGTTTTTCCAAATCCAAAGCTAGGGCTTCTATAATTTGATGTTGATCTTGTACTTCAGGATTTGAAAACAATTTTGGATTATATTCGATACTTAATTTTTTTATAATTTGTTCTAGTAATTCAACTCCATTTGGGACAATTGGAGGTTTGTTTTCATTATCATCAAATATATATTCTGGGAAATATTCACTCATGTTTTGCACATTTTCTAGAATAATTAAAATTAAATGTCAAATGTTTCTCAAGTACTTTTTCTTTTTCCTTCTTATTTAGATATTAAAATATTTTAAGAGACAAACCTTTAAATGGTATTTTATACAAATAAAATCCCCCACTTTTTACATTTGGTATCATAGTATATAGGCTTGTACCAAAATTTTTTCTGATTGTAACAGCACATATTATCATTAAATTTTTGGCTTCACATTTATTGAGTAACGCACCAAATAGTAATTTGTTATCTAGGATGAAGAACGTAAAATAATTTTAGTAGATATTCAAATATATACAAGTTTTTAAGAAATAGAGGATAGATAATTGAAAGTACCTTTACGATAACTTTTGCCTGGTATGACAAAGTATGGTGTTTCAACATGATATAGAGGATGATAAGAAATGTGTTTTATATAAATTATATCAATGCCTATTTCTCGTGTTGTACATAAGCATCTTACTTCTTCTGGTGTAAAATTTATTCTCTCATCACCAAATGTTTGATATTTTTGAATATCTATATCTAAAATAGGTAACGATGCTTGTTGACTTTCTTCATTCTCTACTTCTTCCTATAATACAAACAATAGAACATTGAAAATTATCAAATCATAATCATATATATCAGTAACAAATTATTATAATACATACTATATCATCATTTTCATCCACTATATGATATGTATGTGAACTCAAAGGAATATTGCTTTCTTTACTTATATTTTCTTTTTTCAAATATGATGTTTTGCTGAAAATAAAGTGGATTTTTAAATTTATCGCAACCTTCATTAAAATTTGGATCAATTGAAAGAATGAAACTAGTATAATAACAGAAGTAAATAAAACTTTATTTCTTACACAGAAAGACTGCGAAGGGATACATCTATAACTACATTTTCTCCAAGTCTCAAAGGTAGCTTCGCCATATTTCTAGATGGCAATTTTACTTGTTCCACTATATCTTTCAAAGATATTCTGTTGTAATCATCTGCATCGATTTTTCCAAATTGCATTTCCAAATCTTTATAGAATAAATCATGATTCCAATTTTCACCCAAACCAACAACTAATAACTGAAGATCTATGTCACTATAACTCGTTGCTTGTACTCTTATTCTATGTTTTTCATTATCATCGCATGGAGGATTATCGCAAGACGTAAAAATAATTACTCTTCTCATTGGCATAGTTACGCGGATAGCAGAGAATGCTTGTGCTGCATGCCAAAGTACATCATATAGTGGATAAGCCGTAGAGGAAGCAATATCCCTATAGTACTTCCACTTGTTTCCTTCATCTACGTATAAGATATAACAAAAGATACAAAAAAATGATTTAAAAAATTTGAGCACCAGAATAGTAAAAACTGTATTCTCATCTATTAACTTTTTCTGTAAAAATTTTGCCTCTTTCCTATCTAATACTACGAAAGATATCTTTCCTCTAAACTTAATACATAGCTTTTACCCTCAGTAACAAAAATTGCTTTAAAATTACTTTAGTTTTTTGTTACTTGTAGTAATATGTAATATATATGTTTATTAAACTTTATAACTAAGAATTGAACTTGATTTACAAATACCTATATTTATAGAAGTATCTTATCTACAGACTTTGAATCATTCACTCTTGCTCTCTCCCATTCATATTCTGACTTACTTTGATTAATAATTATCATACTTATTGTACCCTTTCTTGCTCTCTAAAACTCTCTTTGGTCCGCTTATACTCTGTCACTTTCTCTACTTTTTTTTTACAGTTTCTTGAGCCTTTCTACAATACTTTTATTCTGTCTTCAGCTCACTACATCTTCCAACCTTGTTAAGTGTTGTACCCACACACAGATCACACAGTCTCCCTACCTCTTTTTCCCAGTACCTATCCTAATTTTTCAAATTTCCACACCTTGCTTGTGTTATTAACTTTTGACTTCTACCTCCTTTGCTTAGGATATTCTGGCATTCCTATTCTCTGGATGTATTTATACATATTATTGTATTTTGATTGTTCTATTTTTGTATATTGCCTTTGTCATTGCACTTTTACTTTCCTTATAGTAAGTAGAGTAATTTACTTTACTTATAGTAATATATATGCAGAATATTGATTACCTATTTTCATTACTTCTTTCATGCTCTCTATTGAAGGTAGACCTAATTTCTGAAGAGTCAATATATGTTTGGTTTCAGGATCCTTGTCCCATATTTCAGTTCCAAACAAAACTAAACCTATCCAATCTTGTCTGTCCCATACCAATTTTTGCTTGAGAATCTCTTTGTATTGCTGAATTAAAAAAGACATAACAAAATAAATTAATGTTCAAATTGTTATTTGAATATATGAATCATAACTTAATATTAACTATATTGTATAACATTTCTTAAAAACAACATATATTCAAACACTATAATAGAAATTAAAAGTATTAATATAATACATTATTATAAAACATGTAATACCTTAATACATTGTAAAAAATATGGATTATCTGGATCATTTTTAAACATTGAAGGTGTCGCATCAATCACAAAAATTGTACCATCTCTAACACCATAGAGGTCTTCAAGATCATTTTCTATGTCATCATCACTGCACGATTCCATTGTTAATTACTCCTAAAATTATTATTATACGATAACACTCCTAATTACTCCAAAAATCTTCATTGTACGATGCCACTGTTAATTACTCCAAAAATCTTTATTGTACAATGCTATTCTTAATTACTCCAAAAATCTTTATTGTACAATGCCATTCTTAATTACTCTTAAAATCAATGAAAGCAAAGGATACTTTCTTTGTGAGTAATTTAAGCAGTAATTGAAATGTAAAGTATATTTGATTTGAAGTAAATATTTAAGAACTCAAAATTTTTCACACTGATTGTAACATGCAATGAAGAATCTTAGTGAAAATTCACCTTTAACTCTATATTTGCTTCTATCGATACGGGAGATTCCTTCTGAGAATTACCATATTATCGTTTTAGTGTCACATGCAACGTTATCGTTTTAAGATAGTACTGTTTGAATTAAAATCTACAAACAGTCACTGTTAAAATCAAAGTTTTGTATGAAATAAAAAATAAAATATAGAATACGATAAAGTAAGTAAAAGTTCTTTTTTTTCCTCACGGTATAGGAGTTCAAGCAAAAACCAGCCCCTGTGCAAGTCGGATGTTTCTTATACAGGGTGGTTGGTAACTGGTAGTACAAGCGGAAAGGGGGCGATTCTACGCGAAAAAAGAAGTCGAAAATATAGAATAGAAATTTTTCGTTTGAGGCTTTGTTTTCGAGAAAATCGACTTTGAATTTCCGCTCGGTACGCGTGCACTTTATCACGTCTTGTTATAACGGATCTCACTGTAGATCGTTGTCTCGATGGAAAAATTAAAAAAAAAAATTTTTTTTTAATTTTTATTCTATATTTTCGACTTCTTTTTTTGGATAAATCGCGCGTCGATATTCATCGCGAAACATAATTTTTAGTTTTCGAATTTCGCGCGGCTCGGTGCGCTACTGCAAGACGACGCGGAAAATACTGCTATTTCGTATGCTGTTATTTTAATATTTCACGCATTCTTCCAAACAACGTGTATCGCAACCATACAGATTCGTCTTCGAAATTGTTTCTGATTCCGCTTTATAAATTTGAAATTAAAAATTGAGACGCTTCTTGAAAAAGCTTCCTGTTTATCGATCTACGGTATATATAGACCGATATATATATATAATATTTCTTATAATATGATAAAAATATTTTCAAGAAAAGTTGATACGTCTTGAATCGTCTATAAATTACTAAAAATCATCAAAAATACTTATTTTTATAAAAAATCTACTTCACTTTGTCTTTCTTAAATGGCACGATGTATTTTTGATTTCATGACATTGTAGCTGATGTGAAGACGAATTCAACGACCTAAACAACGACCATGACTTTCGGATGGCCATGAGCTCAGAAATCTTGAGTTCATTGATTCATACACGTTTATAGTAACGTTGTCAACATATTGCAATAGTAAAAATTACTGCTCCCTTCACCAGATTTATCTTCATTAGATATTTATGCTCCTTTGTTGACGGCAAAACAGCAAACTCTATAGAAAAGCTTCAAGATAAAATAAAACATGCATGCGGGGAAGTAGAATCATTTTCTTTTACACATCAAACTTTAGTGAACAGAGCGGAACTTTGCGTCGTGAAATTGGAAAGTGCCGTGCAATTCAGACGTTAATTATAAGCACGATATACAGGGTGGTTGGTAACTGGTGGTACAAGCGGAAAGGGGGCGATTCTACGCGAAAAAAGAAGTCGAAAATATAGAATAGAAATTTTTCGTTTGAGGCTTTGTTTTCGAGAAAATCGACTTTGAATTTCCGCTCGGTACGCGTGCACTTTATCACGTCTTGTTATAACGGATCTCACTGTAGATCGTTGTCTCGATGGAAAAATTAAAAAAAAAAATTTTTTTTTAATTTTTATTCTATATTTTCGACTTCTTTTTTTGCGTAGAATCACCCCTTTTCCGCTTGTACCACCAGTTACCAACCACGTTTATAAACGTTTAATTCATAAGAATATAAACGTTTTGGATATTTATCGTCTAAGTTAGACGATAAACTAGAGGCATTTATACTGGACACGATGAAAATTGTCGAGGAATCAAATCGCGTTAACGTATTCGAGATAAATCTCTAACACGAACGATGCAGCTGCCGAAATGCGAATGCAAAGCAATATACATAGATATACATAGTAAAGTTTTATCGAGCAATATTTCCTTTTTATAGAATTGGACTCAGACTGCCAGTGTTTCGTGGGATAATATATTTCGTCACGGATACTTCTGTCAATACGCAAATTCTAATATTCGTTTGCATTTTGTTCTTATTGAGGAAAGGTTTCGTCATATCTGTAATATGGTGCCATTTTCTAAAGGTAATTTTATTTTTCTCATTTCTTTCTTAAACATGCAATGTTAAACTTTAGTCGTTTATTTATTTGCGAGCGTTTTATGTATCAGCTGCAGTCGATCCGTTTGCTTTAATCTATTTTCCCTCGTTCGTGGTGCGTGGCTAAGAATCTTGGCACTCTACGAAATCCATATTTTATTATGTTTTATAGGAGATATTTTGATTATCATCATCGACGTTTGTTTTTTTTTCGAATCTGCACGCTTGCTCTTCCGTACAGATCTTGCTGCAGGCAGCAATATCTAGGACACATGTTCGCTATGAAATCGAAGATTTCGCTGGTAGATACGCAATTCCAATCATTGTCCTAATAACAGGAAAGATTCAGATCTCTATCGACAAGTCAATACTGTCTCGAGCGACATGAATGATTTGTTTACACAAATTTTGATCGTACCCCTTCTTTATGTTCGAGGAAAGAGGGGATCGAATAATTATTTTCATTCATTTTTTCCGCTGTTAGCAGATGACAAGTTAATAGTAACCGACCGATCGATCGATCGAACAGTTCGACCTCCGACAAATATGGTGGCTTCATTGCTCTCTCGCGAATGCGACCGAAATGTCAAATTCTGTATATGCGATTCAATTATTGCTTTGGATCATGGCTATGTCTTTCAACTTGTTATCAAGGATTTATTCATTGAAAGTGCACAAATTATCGGTTTACTGGAAGATCAGGGAATTAATGCTAGCGACTGATTGCGCGTGGAAGCTTATATTGATTATCACTATGTGTCATATGACAGCGAATCCGGTACATTCTCGTGAGAAGTAAAGTTTTGTCGAGATATATGTACACCTATATAACTGGCTATTTGTTTAGGCGAATCGTGTCAGTCAGCTTATTTTCTCTCCGTACTCTTCCGTTTCTATGAAACGCGTGTTTCTGCAGGTAAGCTGAATTCTAGCGAAATCGTTTGAATATTTCAACTCAAAGCAGAAACGCTGTATTCTCTTCGAGCAACTATAACAAACGAGAGTTGCAGACATTTTTAGTCCAATAACATAGCAACACAACCTCGCGACCTTTCTTCATTCTTGTAGTTTTTATCTAGTCCTATAGCATCTCTTTCTTCTCTCGAATAATTAATTACATCAAATTAATAGCGCGCTTCTACTTTGTTGTCACAGGTTATACGCTCTTAACGAGGCGATACTCATCTTCCGTTCATTTTATCTACTTTTGGTGCCTTATATTGATTTTTCTAACGTGCGTATAATTACAGGAAAGCGCCGAGGCAGCGGCATATTTCCAATAGCGGAAAGTTCGTATTGTAGCTATTGCTGGCATTATAAGTGTCGATCTTCCTCTTTTATTTTCGGTAAGTTTTGGCGAACAGACTTGCAGTTCGTGGATTAACACATGTAAATTGCCTTGAAAGAGAGCGGAGCAGTGGGAGTACTTCAGCGAATGATTTCGATTTCCATTCTTACAGATATTCTCAGGAGTGACGATCTATTTCAACATCCTTACTCGAAATGTGCCGCGGATGTCTCTACGATACTCTTATCGCCCGTCAAAGAAGCGAGAGAAGCATAAAATACATGCATGTAGCATAAATGAAATGGTGGTAGAAAAACAAGCATGAAATAGGTAACATAAGAAAGGAACATTAATTTCGTGCGCTAATCTATCTATTGATCTCAAATGACACTAAATGTCAATAGATGCGATCGGTTTGCCGTAACAGAATACACGTGAAATTTGCCTCATCTTTTGTCAGTAAATTCACTGGTTGCTTAACAATGTCGAAACAATCCTCCCATCGATATATTCGACGTGGAGTCAACCATTCGATCGTTCAATAGTTCAATAGTTCGTATCCTTCTTCCATGGAGGTTAGGGATCAGTGGCTAAAGATGAAAAGTGTATCAGATGCAAATTTTAAACGATTTGTGACAATTTGTAACCTGTTGAGGGCCATCGTATCATTTTAATAAATTAATTCTGTCATTTACAAGAATAAAAAACGGCTGAGTTTTATAAATTCTATAGCAGATAGATAAAAATAATATCTCTTTTTATTACCGCATAGATCAAATAAAAAAGATGTTCTAGGTTAGCATCGTCGTTCTTAAAAATACCTTTTGGCTTTAACTTGACAATAATTTTATCATAACTATCTCTTTTTAAACAGAGTTTAAGAGATAAATTTATTCGTTCGAGGTGAAATTCTGTACAACTCGGTCAAAGGAAGACCAACTCGTTCATCGCGACAGCAAGTTAAATTTTCCATTCGATTGATAGAACACGATAAATGACAATTTGGAAGTTGACTGGAAATGAGTAAAAAATGGATAGAAAAAAATTCAACGATACTTTTTGCAGTATGGGATAAAGTCTCTACCGAAACCCTATATTTGTCTCGAAACGAACGTACTCGAATAAAATGGTATGTAAAAAAAGTTAGAAAAAGAATAATTGTTCGAGGAACGGAAGTAACGGAGGAAGAAACTTTTGCAACGCTTTTTAACAGCCTTCCTCGATGGACGATAACGTCACCACACGATAACGACGAAACTCGTCTGTCAAGTGTTATGGATTGAGGGATCAAGTCGGATCGACATTTTTTCAGATCCCATAGGTGGAGAATAACAAGGTACACAGGAAGCAGAGGATACGAAGAGGATGAGAGAAGATGAACGTAACGCAGGCGCGTTTAAAGGAACTCGTGCGCGAGTGGTGTTCACGTCTGTAACGCTTTCAAGAACTCCGGCGGGAGCTGCGATTCTTCCTTTCAGTTTACCGTGGTCCCGCTTCCGAAACTTATGTCGTGTATTATTCTCGCCGGGTAGAAGGTAGTTCGATCGTAAGTTTCGATTGTGCGCTTCGTCGAAAATAGATACGGAACGATAAAACCGACGTATAAACGAGTTAAGAGTTAACCGAGGAAGGAATTCGGAACATAAGGGTTAAGAATAGTGGAGATAAAAAGTTTACGGCCCGCTAATGGTTGTGGTTTAATCTTCTCGCCTATTGATTATAATGGATGGTAAAAACAATTGATAGAATTCGCGGAATATCGTTGATTAGAAAATGTTAAAAAGGATAGTCTATCTGATACGTATAAGCAAGTGACTCTGCAAAGCTGCATTTACTTACATTTGAAAAAGTAAATATTTAAAGCGAACATGGTGGAATTTTGTAAAGTATACGTGTAATTTAAACAGATACACTCAATGTCTCGCTCAATGCAAACCTTTTGCCGGTTTAAGTGGACGTCTCGTAACGTGTAAGAATTATTCATACGTATACTTCTTTCGGTAAATACTCGCGCCATGGCTATTTGTACAAACGACGAGATTTATAAATATCCGAATGCAGTTATTTAACTTGTTTTATTTCGGGAAAATTTAGTGCAATTTTCAATCTTTAGCACGCTTCGTGTCGCGTTTTGTATATAGATTAGTCGATACGGGTTTTATCACATGCACAAAAATACCACCCTCGATCATCGCATCCCGCTTTTCATTTGCATATATAACATTCAGAAATATTTATAAAATACAGCCATTCTGTATCGCGATTACTTCCCTGAAATTTATTTACCCTTATCCTCACGTCGTCGTTAGTTGAATTACGAATACGAAATTGCTCGTATATCTCAGACGCGTATAGGTATATATTACACACGATATATTTATAGAAAAACGTGCGATCACTATACAGGGCAATCCTGTTAATGACAGTTTGATTCCTACGAAAAAAAGGAAGACTCAATGGAAACGAGAAAACAAAGAGCTACATTTCACGCACTTATTCTCAACTTGGAATTCATCCTACGATCAAATTATTCGGCTATGTATAGTCCATTCTCTCGAATCTAGACTTCGCGAGGAGAATAAATTGACCAGAAGCTATTTGATAATTGAGAACGTTGACAGCCTCGTTGTATTTTCACAGTTAGATAGATAACGAAATTGATGTTAACAATCCTCTCATACCATTATGTGATTGATCGACAGGTATACTTTTGAGAAAATGGCAAAGATAATGATACGTTGGTTCGTGCCGCGTTCACTCGCGCACCCTGTTTCCTCGTCGTAAATTGACAGCATAAACGTACTTAAATTAACTTTCTAAATATCCGCGAAATCTCGCATGCGTCTCCCGCGATTGTTCTACATGCGACAGACGGATCGATCCTTTTCGACTTGCCGCGAAATATATCCACAACGTAGAAGTTTCGATTCTAAATTCGTCAAAATACACAAGTATTTTGCATTGCTCTGACGAAGCAAGAATCGATGGATCGAATAAGCGATCAAACGGAATAACGAAATAACAGAAACGAGGGCAGGGGATGAGCTATAGTCGCAGGCGGTTCTCGTACAACAAATTTCCTCGTTAATTATTTGTGTAACAGATACAGTTCCCCTTGTAATCGCGTAATTCAGATTACGCGATCTAGCCGTAACACGAACATATGCCGAGTTGAAACAGATCCTCAAATTATAATTACACGATTGATCGTGACAGTTTTCTCTGTCCGAGGTAAATGGTTGTTGATATTCTCTATGCCCATTGAAGCCAGAAATCACTTTCGCTCGCGTTCCATTGCACGCACAAGATCATACGTGAGAGCTTGATATTGGATTATAAAAACGAGGAAATCATGTCGACGAATGTATACAACGACTCAAGGATATCTTCACCAGAGTTTAATAGCTCGTACAATGGGACGATGGTGTCTTCGAACGAAAGCTTCGGAATGGACATCACCGGGGATATACTTTGGTACTTTTACGACAAGTTTCACAGTGAAACTAATTACTTGTTGATCATCCTCTATATTCCTGTGATGGCACTCGCAATAACGGCCAACGTTCTCGTGATTGCGGTCGTTTTCAAATACCACTACATGCGTAGGTACGTATATATGGTTTTTTATTCGTAAAAGATTTGTTTGCTTTACATTCGATCAGAAACATTTATTTAATCGTTTATTTCCTTGTTAGCTTGGTTCAACATTAATTGTTTATGTACAGACATTGCAAACAGTATATTTAGAACAAATTCAAACTGGATACAAATTAAGCGCCGTGCAATTCAAAACCCCTTTGAGAAAAGTGTGTGTTACAGTGAGTAACTCCGAAGTAATTTAAACTTTGCCAGGATCATTGTGAAACGCTATCGAAGTCGAATGAAGGAAGATTTAACTAAATTAAGCAACGACGACTCGATCGAAATAGCCTGAAATAATAGACTGTTGATTAGAGAGGTTGCTACCTCGTCACCTTGTCGATCTACAATTAGGATATTGCTTTCGAGACAACAGGGTCAACTTTGATCGAGTTAATTATAATTTCGGCCGAGGCTCGTTATAGGGTCAAGCAAATTAGTCTTTAAACACAAAGGTAGATGCAACGTGCTGTTATTTTTTGTAATCTTTCGACAGCTATGGAATTACCTCTAAAAGTAAGAGAAGTTCCCAGAAGAAACGTTAGATCGTCATTCTCTATTATTTAATATAAACACATCTTCTTGACCCAGTTCCTCTGAAAGGAACAAGACGCGAACGTCTTCAAGAGGGAAGCTAAGTCTACATTGACATCCAATTGTTCGCAGAGACGTGTCTCAACCAATAGCTATCTGTCTTTCTGCGGATTTTTCACGAAAGACAGGTAGCGATTAGCTGCGACGTCTTTATACGTCTGTGCACAATTGTGTACAATTAATTAAATAATACACAGATTATTCATAAACTACAGATGTATGATCGAAGATGCAGATCGGACACGTAATGAATACCAATAGCGTGTAGATGCGTCGTGAGAATGTAAACAGGTAATATGCATGCATCGCGTTGACAAACAATTGAATGTAAATTGAATTCTCTAATAGATATATGTCAACTCCGATATGAAAGGGTTACGTGTTACGGGAGGTTGCGGTTTGCGAACGATGAATTAATAAAATATTTCGCTGGACACGGGGTTTTGGCAAGTATATCGAATCGAGAGTTCGTCTGCATCGCGTTAATAGTCGCGATAGCCGGTAGAATGTACCTTGAACATTCTTGAGCGCGTAGACGAAGAAACACGTAGGCATGTGTGCTCACTTCCGACAGCGGCCAAGCGTCGTGCAAATAAGCGATCGGTTCGCACTCACGATGCGTGAACGAACGTCATGGATATCTCGGTTTATTTGTGAAATAAAAATTATTGCTCTCTCTCTTCGTTATCAAAAGCAGGGATTAGGTTGCCGGTGAACGTGGATACGAATTTTGATATTAACCAATAATGCTTACGTCTTTCAAGGATAACAATAAGCGAAGGGTACACGTTACTAGAAACTCTCCAGGTGGTCGGACGTTCGGTATGCGAGCAGTTACGTTGAGAATTATTTATTTTTTGCTCGAGATTCGTCATAGATCGCGATGACGAGTAGACGAAGAATGGCGGTAAGCCAGTGTTCCGTAGAATTCGAAAAGCTTATTGTGTTTACGGAAAACTCGAAAGTTAATGAAAGTGATTCGTACGTTTCATTGAACCATCGAGTTTTATAATGGTCTTAAGATTGACAATGTCAATTTCGCTTATATGGCGTTCAACCAATGATGGATTTTAGATGGACAAGATTTAACATTCAGAATATTTTTTCTTTATTTTCAGCGTGACTAATTATTTCGTGGTCAACTTGTCAGTGGCGGACCTTTTGGTGACTACTATTTGCATGCCTGTGGCTGTCAGTCAAGCAATCTCTATAGTATGGATCCACGGCGAAATAATGTGCAAACTTTCCTCTTACCTTCAGGGTAATTTCAACGATCTGTCTATACTACAATCGCGTTTTGCTTTACATATTTTAATTCGAATCTCGCTATCGTTACTCGCTTAAATCAACGAAATGTTTTTCCACGAACATCATATGGTGTGATATTTTTGGAGATATACTTTGTTCCAACTTGTTTTCTCGCACTAATGCAAGATTGCACAAAAAGGTGCAAACCAAGCCTGAAAAGATACTATAGCCACAAATTGTCGCGATAGAACGCATCTTCCTAAGCATACTTCGTCCTACACTGGTTCATACGTAAAAGATTTTATGGTTTGTGCGCGTGTTAGTGCAATGCATACGTATATTCACATTTGCTGAGGTCCAATGTTTTCTCGAGCGATATGCCACCCCTTGGTGGATACAGTTTTAATTTCTCTCTCTATCCATCGCGACCTTCTCGCCCACGTTCAACCGAGATTCTGTCCGACCGAACAAAGACTAAGTGTCTTATTAGAAGCGACCGAGTCTATTGCGGTCGCCGATGGTGATTGAAAACGATGATGACGACTCTATCTCGTAGGTGTTGCAGTCGCTGCTTCGGTTTTTACCATCAGCGCGATGAGCATCGACAGATACTTGGCGATAAGGAGTCCTATGGCATTTCGACGAGTGTTTAATCGAAGAAGCACGGTTCTCGTAATCGTGGCTCTTTGGTTGGTCGCTCTAATCATCTTTGCTCCTGTTCTCAGAGCGGTTAGTATTACATCTAACAATAATCTAATATCCGATAAGAATTACTCGTAAATATTCCAACGATAAAAGATGCTCGGAAAATTTTGTATTTATTTGTTAAAGCTGTGAATATTAATTTTTACTATGGTTATTGAAATTAAGTGAACTAATAACTGCTCTCAGGTATTTCTATTGCCAATGTTTGTCATCTCTTGTTATTCTATGAACAAATTATATTTTACGATCTTACTTCGAAAGAACGATTTTTCGATCGAATCCAACAGCCGTTCATTTTCTTCTTTGAACACAGTTGTTTCTGATTACTACCTTTGCAGAGATTATTTCCAAGAATCGACTAAGAATAAGCTACGCTTTGCGTATTAAAAAAGGTTCTGGGTAAAAAACTGAAAGAAGTTCTTCCGAAGCAAAAGGAGCTTCGGTGTGAATAAATCTTATCCAGAAGATTTCCGTTTCCAAAAACAGTTTAACAGATGAATGGCGCCCGATCTTCTTTCCAGATGACCCTCCACAGTCCGAGTATGGAACTTAGTAACATATCTTTCCACGGATCCTGGACAATGACGAGGAATTTTTCACAGAATACCTCTCGTGTCTCTCATCTACCACCTGTTTTCTACATTTGTTCCGAAGATTTTAAGCCTCTGGGCATTCAGGCGCCTCTTTTCGGTGCTGTGTGCTTTGTGCTGGTTTATGCGATTCCAGGTAAGACCACATGATTAATAACGAACTTAGCCTGAACATACATTTCCATCCCATTCCCCTTTCCACTTAGAAAGGGAAAGACAAAATGGTCTTATTATCGCTCTGAAAAGGCAGCAATCACTTTGCCCACGCTTACTTTCTTCAACCTTTATGGTTTTCCTTTGTTTGGTTGTTTTTATTCCTCAGGTTTCGTCGTAATATTATCTTACTCCATGATGGGTCGAACACTGTGCGCCCGAAAACCACCTTTCGACTGTGATAGCGTGGAAGGAAGCGCCAGTTCGCAACAGGTTAGTTCGAAAATCACGTAGGCGATAATACCTAATTTTATGACCATGAATTTGTCGTTTAGGAGCAAATCATCTAACAACACACAGAAGCGGCATTATAGCAAGGCTGACACAGACTTTGCACGCACTTAATTCGATTATATCCGGTCGATCGATAATATGGCACTCTCGTATCTAACTTTGCTTCGTTAAAAAGCCCATTCGTTGGTAATGTAATATAGAGATAACCAGAATTCGACGAAATTTTCGACTCGAGATTATAATATTCCATTATAGTTAGTTTTATCACTGTGCATATGATTTTCACGCATCTAAATTTCTCATTCTGACGCTATAAAATTTCATTTCCACTTTGTTTGGTCTGTCGAAACGGTTGTCTGTCCGCCTTTGTACTCTTCTCGTCGATGATTAGATGATGAATCGATGTTGATCTAAATCTAGCCGCGTTTACGACCGTACAACTGCATTCTGTTCGCAGAGTTTCAGGCTGGTACGTGAGAGAAGGCGAATTGCTTGGATATTGCTTCTTTTGGCGGTGTTCTTTGCTCTGTGTTGGTTACCATATAACGTCTTAATGCTACTGATAGATCTGGGCGCAGTTGGTGAGTGATCGTTCATTGATGAAAGCGCAGCAATCGTCATACACCTTTAAATTGAATAGTCTAGCATTACCGAAACGTATAAAACGTCCACGAGCTTGTCAATAATACGACACTATCACTCGTGTCTCTTTTAACGATGGGAGAAATAATAGATAACAGTCGATCGTTGCTAACTTTAACGAGCTTCCAGCTTTCTATCGAATTACTCATTACTTTCTCACTCATTCCCAATAACCGCCAAACTTTGACGACATGTATCTAAAGCCTCGAAATTGTTCCATAGGGGGAAAGACAACGAGAGATGCTCTTTCCTATTGCCTGTTTCTGGGACACGCGAATAGCGCATTGAATCCTGTCGTATACTGTGTTATGACTCGTAATTTTCGGCGGAGTATATCGGAGATTCTTTGCTGTGGAACCCATGGGTTCACTCGTCGGAAACTCCGTCACAGGGTAAGTATCAGTAGTGTTCGCCTTTGTGTCGAATATCTACGGGTTTAACAATTTAAAGAAGCCCTTTTGATATCGTCGACACGGAAGTGGCAAGAGAATTTTTCCAATATACCAAAGCGATTCTCTTTGCCTGCTTTATCCTTTCCTTTGCCTTATCCCTTACACGATCGTAAATCAACTTTGTTCTTTCAAGAGAAAAATTCATTCAACCATATTGATCATTTTAAGTTTAAAGGACGCCACTTACAGGAGGATACATAATTCGATATTATTTGTAACAATCTATAACGCGGACCTATGGTTGATAGTCCGGGGAAATTAAAAATCAAAATCAGTTTCGAGTGTGTTTTTTCTTATGTTGTATTCTTAGCCTTTTGCCGTACAGTTGCAGCAATAAAAACGCGTGCGGATTTGATACTGAATCGTCAGAAAATTTATTCGCAGATTGACGATCCCAAAAGTCCTTTGATATTTTATGACACAGGCTACAATTATAATTCGTCGCACGACGTGAGCGTAAAAAGATTCGCAATAGGATACAGCGAACCTATTACCGTTGTCGTAGTAGTCTTTGAAAGATAAATGGAATTCTCTTTTTTCTCTATCTGCGATTGGAATTTATAAATACAAAGCAACGTGAGTAGCAATTTTCGAAGACGCGTGGGACCGTGATTATCCCAATTTCACCAAACTCCAATATGAATTCTTTACGTAAGCCCGCGGGATTATAGTTGACGCGTGACATATCCTACATAAGCATTTATCCACGCTATTTATGAGAATCGAATTGGCCGGCTTCCATGCAAGGAACGCTAGTGAAGTCGTATTCTTTATTAAGAAAACAAACATCAATCCGATATACATAGTTCGATATCGGAAACTCTGACTAAATCGCACAATATTATTGTTTTCTATATAGTTATTGCAGAGATGAATATTTCACTAATAATATATCTGTTTTAAAAAACACTAAATAATACTACATAATACGAAATTAGATTTCGATTTTATTCGTGTTTGCTATATCGGATTACTGTCGTAGGTTCGCAGAGAGTTTGATACTAACTCTGCAGGCAACCGCGTAATGTCCATAACAGAGTTATTTGAGTGAATTTTCTAACTTTCTATTATACAGGATACAAGCTCATAAACGCAATATTTCGCCAACAATATCTCGTTGCATAACACATATCTTTGATATTATTCCTGTTTATTATCAGAATTCTCGAATTTTATTTCTATGGTTGATCCAAGAAAAGACGTTTAATATTTTTCGATATAAATATCATCTCATTTTATCCATGACAAATCCCTCAGAATCTCTGTGCTGGTATCATAGAATATCGATGAAAAAGTTCGCGACGCGCAAACAAAAGGATAGTCTAAAGGTGGAAGCAATAATAACTGTAAGAGATGTTTGACGTCCTATACCTCCAGTGGTTCTGACGTCCTGTTTCAGAGTGCTCAAGGAACCGCCGTGATCGATGACATGTGTGCAGGGTGTAGTGCTAGTAGCACGATAAGACGCGGATTGCTTCGCAAGCGGAGAATGTTACCTGGATGCAGATGTGGGCTACCGATTAACGGCCATCACGCAGTTTTGGCCCTTCGACGAACGGCCACAACTAGCAGCGGATACGACAGCTACCTTAGCAGACACAGTCCTCATCGACGTTGTTACATGTTACGGAGTCTTCGGGGAAGGCCGCAAATGGGGATGGAACAAGTCCAGGTAAACAAAACTCAAGAGACCTGCTACAAGAAGAACGAAGCCAATCAACCTCAGATAAATATATTCATCACCACGGACGAACAACGTTGAACATAGAAATAAATGATTTCATTTTAAGGACCGATTAGTATTGATTAATTTCTTATAGACGTGTAGAATTTCGGTGTCGTTACGTAAAAATATTTGATGTGCATACATGAAGATGGACAGAAGAGATGCGGTGTCAATTACGATATCTTTCTATAGAATATTCCCTGATCGATTTAGTGATTTTCGGACTCGAGTTCATTGTACCTTTCGTTAACGACCAATATTTATATTGTTAATACGAAGTAAGATAAAGCGGTCAATGATCTTTAATATCTTTTCACGGGGTGATAAGATTAAAGGCTTAGGGCACAAAAGTGACTTAAGGTTTGATTTCCTAAAACGAAAACTTTTCTACCACGATCTGCATTCCATCTACCGAGCATTGCGACAAATAATAAACGAGAAAAGAGTACATACGGTAGTTAACGGGGAACCAAGCAAAAGGGTAAGTTCGTTAATTGAGACTGAGTGGAGGAGACAAATAGGGCTGGGCTGTCGAGGGAAAATGTTGAAACAGTGACAAGTAATCGTATTTTCCGCGTAATTTATTGCTTGTCGTTCACACTCGTTCAACTTTGACTGAAACAATCTTCTGTAGGAAGGATGGTAAAAAGGTTATGCATAACAGGGCCGCAACTATAACGAGAGTGAATGAACATAAACGGTTTGCAAATATTTGTGTACGTTGAGCAAACACGTTCGTTATATGGGCTGACGTTGACGTTATTATCCGGCTCAATTAAATTCGAGTTGAATTGACCTCTTTAAAAATAGGCACGAAAATATGACACTGTTTAAAGATGAATGCCAATGGCTCGCGAGATATCTATAAGAATTTTTGGAATTTTTTCCGATAAGAAATCTCGAAATTGAACGAATTGTATTTCGGTTAGGTTAGATTGTTTATTGATCTAGGTTAGATTCTATTGGGGCATCAAATTCTGGGTAACCTTCTGTAATTTATTCCGATTTAATATGTGTATTCCACAGATGTAATTTCGACGCATTTCGTTCAAACATTTCGAGGGATTAAATAAGGGATGACATAAATAGTCGAGACAAGGAATTTCTCTCCTACTCACGGAAATTCTCGAAGTGTTGGACGTGAGGTTTGATCGAATAAAGATAGGGATGTTGATGTGATAAAGGGTGCGTGTATGTACGTATATGTTGATGCTTACGGTATGAATATCCGCCCACGTTTTGTAATAAATCATGTATAGTATACTTGAAAACAATATTTTGAAATTTCTTGTACAAATATTTATTTTCTCCTAAGGCCTAGCGCGACAAACGACGATACAAGTAACGAAAGAAAGACATAGTCAATTTTTGTCATACATTTGTCATGAACAGATTCGATTCATGTCCTGGTAAATCTGGGATAAAGAAGGGGAAATAACATTTCTATTAGTAATACCTTCGTCGTTCGAAAGAGGAAACAACGTGACACCGGCAACGAGAACCAGAATTGCTTCGCGAGATGAAAAATGAAAATACGAAGTCGTCTCGTACTTCGACGCAAAAGAACGCTCTGATTGAGACACGAGGCAATCTTTTCGCGATGCTTTTGATCAGAATACCGGTAGAAAAGCGAACGAGTCACATTGCTTTAATAAAAATTTATTCCACGACAGGTAATACATACGAATTGGACATTATCACATAGCCGCATAAAAGTATCACAAAAAAGTATATTACAAAGGAATAAACGTTGGACGCGAAGAAGAAAGGATAGTATGCTCACCTTTCGCAGGGGGCAAGTGCTGATATCATGAAAAATGATATCACTACACCATTTTGGCCCCAACAATTGGCTTTATGTACTACGTACTTATATATTTGTTCAATAATAAATTCTTGATTATTCTTTAAATTCCAACTCGAGAATCATAAAATCTCTAGAGGGTGACTGTACTCACTCCTTTTATTATTAAATGCAATTTTACGTTGAATTAATATTTCGAATTGAATAAATTGGATACGTTCATCCGATTTTTTATCTTAGAACTATAAAATGATCATATATCGCAAGATTCTTCTTACCTAAGAACTTAAAGTATCGTTTGCCTCAAGATGATTATTTCTTTGCTATTTATGATTGCATTTATGATGGCTTCGTTTGTATCGAGGCTCCGGCAGTTTGTTCTCGTAAGAACTCAAATTATCCATTGTGAGATAGGTTGTTTTACTTTTATGTTTTCATTAGCTTCTCGTAAAAATTTACGTAGGAACGTTAATTTGCCTATACAGGGATTGTAGCTTCTGAAAAGAAGAACGCTTCAGTACCAACTTTCATTTTCAATTTCTTGCGTTTAACTCTTTTCTTTGATATTTATTTTATTCGTTATTTCGTGAAAAAATTCACAAGTCTTTGATATGATTCCAAGAATGGATAAATTTTACTTCGATTTAGCTAGATCGAAAAAAATATTCAAAAAAACTATTTACGAGGGGGGGGGGAGATTATACAAAAATATCTGCTATAAATATTGGCGAATTGCGAGTGTTCTTTTTTTCGGAAGCTGCTACCGGCAATATTTTACCATCTTATAGTCCCATTTCGTAGATCTTTGTACATAGATGCGGTTATTATACCGTGACTTTGGCTATAATTATCTAAAAAAGGCGAGTTCTTCTTCTTTTCATTATTCGTACTTCCATCGGCGACATGTTTCAACTGTGTCCCTACGACGTGGCACCCATTCGGAGCCGCGTTCCTCGATCGATTGTTACCACTCGTAAGATAATTAGTAGACTGATGCAGTTTCTCGATATTGTTAGCGTTACTTCGAAGGATCCGATAATCCGTATTGGTTTTTGTTCGACAGGGGCGCGACGGGGATTGCTCTTCCACTCGTAATGGTACCGTTTGATTCAGATAGTTTCGGATAGCTAGATTCTTCACGGTGGGATAACACGAATTGTACAAAGATTCGGAGCTACTGGCATTCTTGTTATTACTGCTGCTGGATCTAAGGTAATAAGAAGTCGCGTTATCGGGCGTTCTCGCGAAGTATTTCGTCTGAAGCGTCTTAAGATTGTCGTGATCGAACGTAGTCTTCTGCCGATCTTCTTCCCGCCAATTCGCATCTGACGTGGGTCGGCTCGTCGTACGAATCTGTTTGCAATTTCTTCGCAGTTTGTCACGGTTACCAGTTACTATTTGATTTGGTCTTCTTCCAGGTGCACACTGAAATTGTCGAATTTGCATCGACACAAATTAGATTTGTGAAATTATACTGTAAAATTCCTACGGAGAAAACGTCGCTGTATAAATAAATTGCGTGTGAGAAGAGTCGTTCGATTCAGTCTTGAATGGAAAAAAGAGCTACGTCATTTCTGTGCAAGAAGCATGAGTTGTGACACGTATAAGTGATTACAGTACCTAAATGAATCCCACGCGACACGTAGCCTGTAACGACAGAATCGTCGGTTTACTTTTTAGCGAGAAACGCGAGGCGTTATAGAGGACAAGGAGGTCGAAAGTAATAGTTAAAGAAATAGTTCAGTTTATTTTCTTACCACCATTGGTTGGTCCGATTGTATAGAACGCTGAGATTTGGATAATTGTCGGTGTTGTTGATTGAGATATAAGCAACTTTTGGTCGTGCTTGGAGTCAAGTTATTCAAACTACCATTTACAAAATTGTGTGTGTATTGGGTTGCTACGCTTTTAGCTGGCGGATATTAAAGCGAAAAGAGAATTAGATTTATTAGCACATCCACGACACTGGCTTATTAAAACCACGATGTTTATTCTTACCAGTTGGTCGAACATTCTTTGTGTTTTGCGTCTGCGACTCGACAGACACACATATCGATCTCGTTTTCGTAATTCTTTCACCACTATCAATTTGCGAATGCCGTGTTGCCTTTCTACTTGGTAGTTGCGTACGCACTGAGTACAACATACAATAAGTTTATCTCACTTATTTTCGTTAATGTATCTTATTTCTTATAAAATAAACTATCAATTTTATTACCTTCTAAATAGGAAGGTTCGTACGTGTCGCTCCTACCTCTCTCCTTACGTAAATCTTGATACGAGTGTGTAAGATTTTTACGAACAGTCGCGTCACCTTGACCAATGACTGGGTTACTACTACTACTAACTGTTTCCTTCCTGATGTGCTCCGATAATCGTCTGATTCTGGACTTAGACCTGTTCTCAGTTAATTAACGTGTCAATTTTAGGCTATAATAACAATCGTTTGCCACATCAAAATTTATCAACCCACATATTCTTATGTTTGCGATGTTTTTCATCCATCATCGAATAAAGCTTATTCCTGTATTCGTCGACAGAGAGCTGTACATCGTCTCTAAGTAGCGGTACCACGTTCGAGCCTCTTTCTGGTTCGTTGCTTCTTCTATGAAAACTGTACAAAAAACAACATCCGTAACGAAAGATTCGTTTCTTATCTTTTGTTAAAAAATCAATGTACTCGGCCACATAAGGGTGCTCCAAAGCCTCCACGGCTGTCAGTCTGTGATTTGGATTGAAGACTATCAGATTGCTAATGAGATCCAATGCCTTTTCCGGCACCTCTGGTAGTAAATCCTTCAATGAACGTCTTGGTGCATTTGGTGTCTTCTCTAACAAATTAGTACCGTATCCGGCGCTGACCGAAACCAGATCTAAAGAAGTCACCAAGACAAATCGGTCATTCCCTTTCTTCCAATTCTGACCTTGCGAAGGTGTCGAAGAGGATTACCTTCCCTGGTAGGTGGCGGGAGAGTGGCCATTATTCTCTCCACCTGATTTATCGTCGATGAACCAGGAAACAATGGTTTTCCAAGAAGCATTTCGCCAAGAATACATCCCAACGACCACATATCGATACCCTTCGTGTACCTATATTACGTCGACAGCCAGCGAATTTATGTGAACGTATATATTTGTACGAAGCAATAAAATACCTTTTTGAAGCAACGAGTATCTCCGGTGCCCGGTACCAGCGAGTTGCCACGTAATCTGTAAGCGTTGGATCACTGGCGGTTTCACCATCTCCTTCCCCTATTTGAGTGACCGATCGTGCCAATCCAAAATCAGCGATTTTGCAGTGACAGTGAGCATTTAGTAGAACGTTTGATGGCTGGAACAAATATAAACGTGGCAGTCATTCCGATGGGAAGGAGAATCAATTCGCGTAGACCATCTCACCTTCAAGTCTCTGTGTATCACGTTCCCCGAATGAATGTATTTGATCGCCTTAAACAGCTGATACATGATGAACACCTTGTGGAGGTCCTTCAGGATCTTGCCCTTCTTAATCACGTTGTGGAGATCGGTTTCTGGGGAAACGGGCCGAAACGGGTTTCAGGCCAAAAGTCTGAGAATCGCCGCGGCACGTGACCTTCGTTCGAATTCTTCTTCGGACCGGGTAAAACTCACCCATGTACTCGAACACGAGATAAATGTCCCGATCGTTGTTCGCCTTGTGAAGACCGATCAGTCGTATGATGTTGTCGTGATTGGCGAACGATAGTAGGAACATTATCTCACGGAATGTGCGCTGCGCATCCGTCTGGTTTCTGAAGGCGTCGAAGATCTTCTTCACCGCTACCGTTTCCTTGTTTTTCTTGTCTATCGCCTTCCATACGATGCCGTAAGCCTATCGAGGAATTCGTCAAAAAATGTTTGATTGTATATATTTTTATCTTTCGATACATTTTATTACGATTTGTTTTGAAATAGCATGCACGATAGTTATTCTTAGATTCGATATTCGTTTTTATGATAACGATTATTAACGGGGCACGAGTATCGATTACTTCTGATTATACTTTTCCACGATGGACGTACCACGACAACTGCTATTTAATAATTGTACATACGTGCGTATATACGCTACAATATGTGCATCAGTTTTTTTTTAATAAAAAAAATTTGTTCTTTTTATCGCATAAAAAGTATCACGTTTTACATTATCTCTTATGGACTTTTTAGAAAATTGCTTTTTTTTTATGCAATTGAAAAATATTTAAAGAATAACGTTAGAATAAGAAAAAAAGTACAGAATATCTGATGTACTGTAACAGTTTTAAATTCTTGAGAAATAAACAATTTGTGAAAATAACAAAATGAACGAAAAAAATTACCCCCTTGCCGAGACGTCGAACGATGTCATAATGTTTGCTGACGTGTGCATCGATCTCCAAAACCTTCTCGCTGGTATTTTTTGACGACATTGCGACTAAAGGTGGACACGATAAAACTTCACAAACTGATATGTCGATCCGAAGGATTGAGGATGTACGAAAATTTTCAGACGGAAACGGCGTTCAAGGACCGTAACGAATTCACATCTTTACACATCAGGAAGGAAGCTCTACTTGAACAGTTTTTTCATTCGAGCTTTGACACATCAATGTGGCTATGTTTGTAGAATTCATGCCAGTTACTATGACGACAATATTCAATGCTACTCATGGTTACCAACGACATCGCGTGACTACTTGCCCGATGCACGTATACGGCCGTAAAGCCAAGAGGAAAAGAAAATAATTCAAATGTTTAATTTAATTTTTACGTTTCAAAACGTATATTTTTTTTCTTCAAGTCTCATACAAACTGTGGCCAATGTTGTGGGTCTTGTTTGACATTTATATGCTTCAAAGTTACAATAAGTAGAATAGTTCTTTTTCACAGTGAAAAACTAAATAATATGTACATATGTAGGTACAATTAATTAACGAAATTTTTATAATGCTTATGATAGATCGAAAATGAAAATGCACAAATTTAAAAATAAAAATGCATAATTGTTTGAAGTATTACACAATCTGAACTACAAACTGGTCCCGAAAACGGTTACAAATAGTTTATCATGTAACTTGAGATAAGAGCGTGCTATCGTGTAACAATCTAATCTAAGAATTGCGTTTCAATAAGTGTTATTTCAGAAAACGAAGTAAATCATCTGCCTAAATGCCGATACAGGAATCTTGCGGCGTCATATTAAAGATAAATTCTTTTCTTCTTAATAACAGTAATAAACTCTCGTACTTTGTTTCATATTGCATGAAACCAAAGGTTCTTGGGTTAAGGACTATATGCTTAGGAGATTTTAAGCGCATAAAGTCCTAATAGCCCAAAGAAACTTTTAAGTACACACATATATAGATATTTATCATTTATATTTTTTCTTTTTTTTTTTGTTTTAATTTAATGGATAAGTATGTAGGCTAATGCTCCTCTTGATAGCCACCAGTTGGTATACAATATGCGCATCGTTCATTTCCTTGGCTGATGGATAATAATTGGACGTGAAGAATGAGCTGGCCGTGCATCATGAGTTGGAACAGGCTTTTCATGGAAGAGTTGCACAGCTTCTGGAGGAAAATCTGCATTTCCTTTTGCAGGAACTCCACTGATCATGAGAGTTTTTGGTGGACTAAAACACAATCAATATATATATATTTTATTAATCATATAATTACTAAATTGTTATTATAACAGATAATATTATATTTTTAGTTGTTTTTACTTCAATACAGAAACAATTCCCCCTTTTATATATATTCATATTGTTCGTATCATATTATCTTAATGCGTAATACGGATGATGACGCAAGTAAGCAGATATTGCACATCAGGCGTATATTGTTGACTATAGACAATGGTTGTTTCAGAGGTCAATCGTGTTTTTATCGGTACAGTTTATTTACCAAATGATCAAATGGATGACAACCGTATTTATGTACTACTTTTCATTTATTCACATTATTGAAATATGAAATTATTGTTAGCGTAGATTTAAAGATAAAGATATTTAATTTGCTTACCTACTCGATGTTTTACTTTCGTCCACGTCTTTAATTGGTTTTATTTCCCGATCTTCTTTCGGTGTTTTATGCTGGGTGATCCTCATTCCGCCTGCTTTTACTGAAACAAAGATATAAAACGTAAATTTTGATTAAGAGAGAGTTAAAAGAGCAGATGGCCTTGAAATATCCAGACAGGTGCATATAACGTCATTTGGCTTAGTTGTGTAAACATGTTAACCTTCTCCATTTCAAGAGAAATTGCGATTTATTTCGTTACCTGCAGGAGGATGTCCACCCTTGAGTTTATACTCTTTTGGACTTGACATTTATGCGACTTTAATTAAAACACTAAAATATAACTAAAGCACTTATTTTTCTTTCTATGGAATAACACGTCTTGTGGCACTACGACACCAATCACACTGATTCGATGGCGGTTGGCGCTGTAATATGTGGGAGATAGCAGTGGGGATGTAGCTTCAAGACACGTCCTTTTCGTCTTATCTTTTATTCTTGTTTTGAATGTTGTTCGTAATTTCTTTGCAATATTGGAAAATGACATTCGTAACGATTAAATTACATGTTTACGACGAATAAATATCTATTAAAGTGTAGAATCACGAGTAAAATAGATACAAAAATTTTGTATCTCAAAGTAAATTTTATTAAAGAAAACATTTCACAGAATACAATAAGCTATAAATGCTATTAATTAAGTCCTCCTTGTTTCTGATCTTGGTACATGTAGTGAAGGTCTTTACAATCTTCATCAGAAATATGCACCCAACCAGTTGGCTTCATGTGATACACTGTAAAAGATTCACATTGTAACATATCGTCAAATTTTTCTTTCTTTACGATTACATACCTCTTACTATACCACCAGAGTAAGCATCTCTATGAGTGGCATGGTAAATTGATCTTCTGCCAAGTTCATAAGCCTCTTCGTCGGTCAAGTCCCAGCGATAGCCAGAATCTAGTGCACCAAATGCATAAATAGAACCTGATCCTACACTGAAAACCTTTCCTGGTGTACGAGCACCTTCTGAATCAACATAGTACAAGCTAGGTCCTCTTTTGTCCCATCCAGCAAGCATCATACCTGACATCATTGATAAATATTTTGTTAATTTCATTAAACAAATCTATTGTGGATGTTATTGACCTTGAAGGAGATAAAAGCCCACCTATACTTAATCCCATTCCTTTGTAATTATATATCATATTTGATAGAAGTTTGCTAGCAGCAGCAATGGAAATACGTTCTCTATTCCGTAATTCATATGTACGACATTGTTTTGCTAGGACTCTATCCCAATAAACACAATCCGCAGCACCACCAGCTAAAGTTCCAAGGAGATAATCGTTGATTTCAACGATCTTCTTCATGGTGGATGAACCTATAGAAAAAGAAGATATAATATTTTTTTTTTGACAATATAACATTCAATACATATGCATTTTGTTTTACCAATAAATTGGCCTCCTGTTGCTCGTGAGTCAACAGCAAGAACAATTCCACCTCTATACTGAAAACCCAATGTAGTAGTTCCATGATCAAATTTAATCTTCAAATGTTTCCCTGCTTCGTCGGTTCCTTCTGCAAGTTGTGCCAATTTTTCTGCTGGCTATTCATATCAAGAAAGAGATTTTAGAAACGGTGAAATTACATGATGTAGCAAATTTAAATTGTAGAATGGTTATGTAGGAAACCAACAGCGGATTTGAATAATTTACTTACATTTATATATGGCGGTACTGCTAGTTGTACATTGTTGATAAAATTTCCACTATATTTCTCAACTTGTCGCGAATAGTTATCTTCTTCGCGCGAGACATTAAAGTCAACAAACGAATTCAGACCGCAAACTTCAGCAAGCGCCATTTTTACAACAGGCTCTAATGTCGAATGCTTGTCATCTTGTTAATACAACTGTTCAATGATAGAGAGCGCATTTGGTGTTTTGGCGCCATATTCTTACGCGGTATTACCGCGTAAATTTTAACCGCGCAACAGTGTCGTTCTTTCGTGCTCGTTGTGTTTTAGTATCAAAATAAGTGTTTTCTTCTCAACATTTAATAATATATGCCTAGAAGAATACTTAAATAGTGATAAAACAAAAGTACAATATCAATTTTACAGAAAATGTAAGTAAAAGTATAAAAGCAGTTCTTGATGAAATATCATTAACCTGTAACGACCAGATAGTCAATGGTATGAACCAATTCGTAAGTTATAGTCCATATTTGATTTGTTTATTTAGAATTGTATGGAAAAAGATTATATACATAAAGCTCTAGTATATGATACCACAGATACTTGTCTATGATAACATGTACTCCTATCATTCATGCTACCATACTGAATCGATAATAATAATAATAATATAGTGAAACGTAACTAGTAAGACATGGTAACTTAGACGTGGTAAGGGGTTAGGTCAACTGATCCCAAGGTGTGGAATACTAAAAAGCATTGAATGTCTATTCTGCACCTTGTCTGTGGTATTATAACATGCTATAACTATTAAAAAATAAAATAATTATTATAGAAAATTTGATAAAAACGGGGAAATATCTACATCTGTATTATTTCTTATTTTTTTATGATGGGCTAGTGAAGTAAAAAATATATACGATTGAAAATTTTCATATATATGTATATTTGTATTTTTAGCATATCCACGTACTTATCGACTATTGCCAATACAGTAAAATTCATTGCTATATATTCTTTCAGACAATCCCGATTGGTGGCGCTAGGAGTATATGAACGTGCGACGCAGAGGGTCGTTAATTTGAATCCATTTTCCTAAATAAATGAAAGAAATATTGGAATCCGAGTAAGTCGAACTGAATCAATTTAATAATAATGTTGTATATTTTATTAACGCAGATACGTGTACCATGAATACTATAAACTACACTTCTGTTTGCGCATAACTATCAACGTTCTAAGGCTATTCTATAAACGTTATATTTATTTCTCTTGTATTTCTTTCGTACTCATGGAGAGACTCCTATAATGCAGGACTGATTTATTGCTACGAAACGATTATCTGTATCAATAACGATAACGAGTTTCCCGAAAAAAAGGAACCTTCGAACTTTTCGTTGAAGTAAAACACGGTCCGAGCGGCGACTTGACATATCGTTCCACGTGGAGGCGTACTCCACGGTCCATGTATCGCGTGATTTATAACATTAAGATAATCAAAAGCGAGGGCACGTCACACTTCGATACCATGGAGTACAAAATATGTTGGTGTTTCGGTAAAACGTTGTTAAATATCGCGTATTATTTTGCTCGTGGGGTCAGCGATATGACGTAGTCGTGATGAAGACAGGGTCACGTGTAAGGGGGTAAGGCACTTTACCGTGTTCACTGATTGGTCTGTGTCGTGATCGCACCACCCATGTAGTCGACGTATTACTATGTGTTACAATACGAAATATGATAATATGTTATTGCATATTTTCCTTGCGATTCTTTGTGTTAAAGCAGTCGATGTTTGCCTGCCACGGAACACCGATAACGATAACATTCTTCTACTCTTTTCTAGCTATATTATCGTCGTTCTGGTCCCTTTCCAAACGCTCGTTTGATGCATCAGAGAGTAAAGGCGTATCAATTCCATCCTTCTCTCTCTTACAGGTTGATTCGATCTTCCAGTAGATCTTTCTACTTCCCAAGTATGAATCGTAAGGCTGCGCTGGCTCAGTGTAATCGTTCTAATGTTGCATTAAACACAATTGCCTGTTATAGTTCTTCTTTTCATTTTCTTCGTTTATATTGTGGGTTATCGCAATAGTAAAAACATGGTATCTGAACTTGAACCGATGATAAGGGACGATAATGATCTTGCATTATACACGAGACACCATCGAATTCTAATCAGATCTTTGTGCTGCAATACATGTATAATTCAGATCAGTCAGCAGGGATTTTACGAATCAACTATACGAATAAGTTTTTAGTATTTTTACTTCTGTCACTGGATAGACGAGGATTTCCTTCGATCTTCAATTTTACACGGACCAGTCTCGTTTGACGATCTTCCGTGGGTAAAGGACAACCGAGATCGGATCATTCGTTCACGGAATACTTTACGAGGTTTACGATAGTTTCGCGTATACTAATTGATACGATTATCGTACGAAAACTTTCCGACAACGTCGAATCTTTTTTCGTACTCTTTTTCGTATATTTGCTTGGCTTAGTTCTCTAAATTTTAATGTTATGACCATATAGGGACGATTTAAACCATACAGATATGGAACGCGTGGAATGATATATTCAATGCCACATTTCTTCGAACACATATATAATCGTGCTAAAATAAGGAAAAAATTTTTCAAAAAATTCGATGTGCCAAAGGGTCAAGTAACTTTATAGATACCGTGGAATTTTCAATGACGACGCGACAGTTCGGTTTACCACAGGATAAAACAGCTCGATAACGCGCGAACGCATTTGATGTTCGAATAGAAGCCGCTCGTTTTATCGGGTTTTGAGGGTCGACGGGGTCGATGGTGCGACGCTAGATTCGATAAAAGTTAAAACTGTTCTCGCATTCTATCGCTTCCTCTGCTTGATCACTCGAGTCCTTCATTTTTCGTGGCACTTCCTCGCCAAACTTCGTACATCGTGATGTATATTCTACGGTTCAGTGTTATCGGGATACGACTCGATCTATCTCAAAGTTCATGTTGCGACTTCATTCTTATTCCAAAAAAATTACTAACGCGAGACATACGTAAAGGGATGACGATAATAATGACGGAAGCACGTCGATTATATCGAGGAAAATAAACAAAATAAACGATCTTGTTGATTCACTAATACACATTGTGTCATGGACAAAACATGTTTTCTCTGCTACTATGAATTATTGCGTAGAAATTCTTCTGCTTTTTTCTATCTCACGATAAATGTCCCTCCTCTGTTCTTGAGCGATGCTCCTTCTTCTACGGTTCTACTGATTTCGTTGGATCGCATTAACTCGATGGTTTTATTAACATACGATATGCCTGGTTATAGTTTAAAAGTTCACGACTTGGAGTTGATTCGGTTTCCTCCTAAAAAACCGCCAATTTATCTAAATCTGCACCGATATAAGTATCGTTGTCGTGTAATATCGCCGACTCGTGACCGACTGATGATTCACGATGATCAGCGGTCGAAAAGATGCTGCCTGCTTCGTGTCATTGTCGGAGTTCAACGTTCAATTCGTGCAAGACGCGAGCTTTGTCTCTGAAGCGTGTTCACGCGCGCGGAAAAGTCAGAGAGACGACGCTTCTTATCAAGAATCGGTTGAACTGGCCTACGAAAAAATCAGAAGGTCCTTGGAACCTACACGCGCAGCATACTACGCGTCTCCACTTTTTTATGGTGGTAATCGAAGCGCCAGTTCTTACAAAAAGCTATAGTTAACGACGATATCTTTGCAACGGGTTAATCTTTTTAACAGGAGCTATCGCGAGGTTAATTTCAAAAACGCTTTGATTGTTTCAAGTGACTGCATTAATGTCTCGAGTAACCGTTGTTCTTTAGCTGTTGTCGCCTTGTTATATAATCATTTACTTTTGAAAAATTCACTCGCAGTTACACCATAATTAAAATGAAACCCTTTGTCTTATTATATTTCTAGTAGCTATTTAATGGATCGTTAGTTATCCATTGTGATACAATGATCCACGGTATAAAAGAATTGAAGTTAAAATTAAAGTCGAAATTAAACTTTGTTCCAAATATAATGTGCCTTTGTTACATCATAACTATAATCTGTACCACGAGCGTCGCACGATATTGTAAGAATACGAGAAATTAATACGAGTACTAACTATAGATTTTCAATATACAGGCTGGTTGGTAACTGGTGGTACAAGCGGAAAGGGGGTGATTGTACGCGAAAAAAGAAGTCGAAAATATACAATAAACATTTTTCGTTCGAGGCTTTGTTTTCGAGAAAATCGACTTTGAATTTCCGCTCGATACGGTGCACTTTATCACGTCTCGTTATAACGGATCTCACTGTAGATCGTTGTCTCGATGGAAAAATGAAAAAAAAAATTAAAAAAAAAATTTTTATTCTATATTTTCGGTTTCTTTCTTCGCATAGAATCACCCCCTTTCCGCTCGTACCTCTAGTTACCAATCACCCTGTATATCTCAAGAAATAAATCAAAGAAATCCAATGGACGACGTCATTTCCGCGAAACTATTCACTGACATCCATTTTCTCGATTCTACTATGATTTGCATTGATCGAAATCGTAGCCAGCTTTCGATTGTTTATTCGTTATACATCTCGATCATAATCCGGAGGTTGTAATTACGAAAATTGCATCAGCAACGGTGAATGCGAGGCGATCCCTCTAGGCCATGTTCGATAACATGTTTGTCCGATAATTCTGGCGGCACGGCACGAGACTGGATGAGACGTTCGTTTCGGTGATACTCCAGCTTCTCACCAGTTTTGTACTTTGTACATACGAACGGCCAACATAATTTTATATTACTCGGTATACGCACTTATTCCGCTCGAGTGACGATTTGACTCGGTAATGATCGCGCGCCGGTAATTACGCAACGGGGGTAGAACTCGGCACGATCGCGATCGTTGAGTAAGAGACGAGGTGAAGGTGAGCAGTTAGCGGCGAGAGTGTAAGTAGCGCCCGCCACGGAGCGAACTGCAGCTGATCGTTGGCTACCGTGGACCAACGACCGCGGTTGCATCGTGATCTTCCATCCTTCTTCCTTTCTTTCGTTTTTTATTTTTTTATGCTAAAACGAAACACGCGTGAATAACTCTTACCTATGCGAAAGTACTTACCTATATCGATGTCCACGTAGAACGATACTTTTACATTAGTGGAACACAGAGTTTAAGTAATTGAACGTTTTATATGAAACGATAGTTTGTCAAGCGAGGTCGTAGTATGTTTCCAGTATCATTCATAGAAATTATATAAATATGTCATTTCGTTAAGTATATAAAAAAAAATTGCTTCTCGGGAATAGAAGATAATTTAAAATATCGAAGGAAGAGCTAAATTTTTTGTAAACTACGAATATCGAACGATGGTACACGTGTCTGTGAATGGGAAGCTGATGCAATAGCGATTCGAAATTGTATCTCTCAATGTTTGTCTTTGCGTGTGCTCCCTGTACGAGTTACTCTGCCAGTTCTACATAAGCAAAATTTACGGCGAATGCAATGACGATCATTAGGTACCTCCATTTGTCGATGGCAGCTACATCAGGGAATACCTGGAGGTCCGTGTCGAAATCTCGGTTACTGCTGACTCGTCACACCGGACTCGTATACAAGCGTGCCCACTCGGTGGAACGTGTAGGCACGAGTGGGCCTGATAAAAGTAGGTGTGCGAGTATGCACGTAGGGGGTTTTACGAGGAACCGACGAGAACCTACTTTTGTACAGGAGCCGCGAGCGGGTAAATTGAGACGGGAGAGGGGTGTTTCTTGGAATTCGTACAGTCATCAGATAAAGTATTCCTTCGTCGTTCTAAATCTTCCATGGCCCTCCCCTCCTCCATTCATGGATTGTTACCTTCATTTCGTCGTTTCAGCGATTTAATTCGATTCGATTTCAGTTTGTTCGAACTTGAAGTTTATCGACGAGAAGCGGTCGCGTGATTTCCATTCCAAATGTTCCAGTATTTGCCATGTCTTTTTTGTCCAAGTAACCCTTCTATCTAATCGTTGATAGGCTCCAGCCATCCGCGTGTGGAAGCTGAGAAGAATAATATCGAGTGGAGGATGAAATTCATTATTTCAACTGGTCCGGCTATCGGTCGACCGGGAAAAGGGTTATCAAAGCTATTATAGGGCTATCGGTACATTTTTCGTTCGCTTTCCTATCATGTATCGCATGTTGTCGTACCTTCGACGAAACTAGCCACGAAATTCGTATGCGTCTGATTGTAAATCTTACGCCTCTTCCATTGATCGACAAGGACGCGCATAGATCACGGAAACACCGAAACGCGCAAAAACTGTTTCTCTCGAGCTGTTTGAGCGCGACGCTTGAAAATTCCGATCGATGGCGAGTAATTAGATGGTGAGATTTCATCATCACGCGCCTCTGAGAAATCGAGCACGCGTCATTGACGTCGATTCTTGATAATCCATGAAATAACTTGGATCGCGTACCACGATGAAAACAGAGAATCTAAGCGAGACACATTGGGTTCTGGTCGACGGAATGAAAAAGCGGAGAGTAGAAAAGGGAGAGAGAGAGAGAGAAAGAGAGAGAGAGAGCGAAGAAAAGAGGATGCGTGTGCAACGTTCAAAGTGGAAAACAACAATGACAACGGAGACCCCCTGCGATGCGCATCGCGATACAATTGCGTCATTAGCCTAGTAATAACGCGACCCTAGCAATCATGTCACTCGAGGTTATGGCTCGTTTCTTTTTTCTTAACCTTACTTGTGCCTCTTCTTCGCCGCTCCGCTTGTGATAACAGAAGCTACGCGATATCTTCCTGCTTCGTTGGCTCGTGAAATCTCGCGGCGAAACAACAGGAACGATTTTACCCGACCTTCGCCTTTGCACTCTTTTTTCGTAGTTTTTCTATGTTCCTGGCGTGTGTGCCACGTGATGACCATAAGCTCGTGGATTTTTCTGACCGTGTCTTGTACGAGTTAGACTGTATCATGTAAAGATTAGCATAATAGTTGCAAATACTAACTAATTCCTGCGTCGGAATGATTCGATTGGTTGTGACGTCTCGATTAGTCCTGACATTGAGGCGCAGTGACGTTATTTAGAGAAACAAAAATTGCAAAAGGTCAAACAGTCGATAACATATTAGACACAGACGTAGTTGGAAAAATTTGCATTCCGGTGCAGAATGCTGATGATCGCAGCATCACTGCTCTCGAGATAATATATATAATATATCACGAATAAATTAAATAAATAAATAAATATATATATATCCATTGGAAAGAAAATCTGAAAGTAAACGAAACAACTTTCGATCCTCTTTCACTACGAATCGACAAATCGTTGCCAGAACGAAAGAATATAATTAGCAGATTTAATCTCCTATATGATGCTAGCTTACCCTTTGACCTCCGGAATAATTCCACTGACCAGAGCATACATCGTGTGTTTGAACTCAGCATTCGACATATTCCGTAACTACATTTGCTAATAGACTAATCGTTAATCATTCTACTGAAAGTTTATGAAAAATTCTTAAAGATTCGTCCGTTTCTTATTCCGCAAACGCTATGTACTCAGATGTAAAGAGAGAAGATGTGTAGCATCTGCCTAGCGAATTTTACGTAGATAACCTGCTAGAGATACTCCGAGAGGAGGACTATTCTTAGTTTAAGGACACACGGATATGAAGCGAATCACAACAGACCTTTTACCCGTCTGGATCATTATGTTCATCCGCGAATCGTAACGTAGGATTCTTCGCTCCTCGCATCACAGTCTGCCAAGTTAGCTTTTCCTCGGTTACAGGTTGAAAAATTCGTTCTTTTACCTCGGTAGATTCTACTTAATTCGTCTTAAGAGAACAGAGAGGGCGGAGGTCTCTCGCGAGACTCATCGCGTCCGAGTGTCTCTGTTCTTTTATTATCGACGCAAGGAAGTAAGCAATGAAACGGATGCACCAGGAACACATCGGTCACTCGGTCACTCGTAGTGCACGCGGCTGTGTACGCTAATATTAGCGTGGCAACATGGTAACCGCGCATCGTGCTTATTCCTGGCCGAGCAGCCAGCTGCTTGGCTAGCCAGAGTCAAGGTCACGGCATTACTAGCTACTTGTCGTCAGAGCCACAACGCGGATATCGCGCGTGGACCACGTATAGTGCTAGCCAGCGGCGTCGTGCCCTTTTCCGGCCCCTAGAATCGGAAGCGCGACGGAGTCTCGTGGATCGAAGTCTACGACTCGACTTCAGCAACTTCGAAACCTCACGATTGACCGAGTTTTCTCCCTTGTCAACGCGGTTTTCAGCAGAATCACACAGGAACAGATAAAAATAAGTCAAAACGAAATTACTGTTCGGTCTTGTGGCCATCTGTTATCGTTTGGTCAATTTATATCGAGCGACGTGTCCTCGTGCTCGCTTTGTCATGTGTTCGCTAACATTCAACATAGAAACGATTCGTTACCATTTTCTAGGTTGCCTCTCGAAAAACATCGAGATAAGAACGCGGTGAATAAATCTGGTTAACGTCCGACTCAATTCTATTAGATCGTCTGGCGAGTTCAGAATGTGTTTCGCGTATTAATGTTTACTAAAACTTCGTTACCGCCTTCTCTATTTAGATACTCACGCGTCTCTTCTTAAGGAATACGGCTGTTGGTATCTTTGGCATCCTAATTTACTTGTCATGATCGCGTCACATACAAGCGAATAAAGTTAGCAGACGAGAGTGAGAAAAGAATAAGAGCAGGAAGTAAAACGAAAAGCGTAAGTGCGGGACGTCGCTGGTGGTTGTTCAGTCAAGGGTGAGAGGGCGCAGTTACCAATGGTGACGGGTGTACCGACCTTGACCTTCGTTTTGAAGCAGCATGCACGAGCGTAGTACTGTCGCCCGAAGCGAATCGCATGTGTGAGAACGTCTCGTTGCGCGAGCCAGCCCACTTTGGTCGCGCGGTTGTATGTGGAGCGCGGTAAAAGTGACAAGACGTTAAACGACCCGGTCGATCTACGTTACGTGCCCCGTTACGGAGTACGGAGCTCCCGCGATCGCTCTCTATATACTTCATTTATCCTAAGCGCAGCTCGTAACCTAAGGCCAAGGTAGTGGGTTACTTTCACCGATGTTATGTCAATTCCTGGCAGCGACGGCGTTTTCTTCGTTGACATTACGAAATACCCCCTCTTCCCCGACTTCATGACGGATCTCCTACAGTTCCGCCGCCTCTGCCATTACCTGGCCGCTCGGCCAGATTTCAAACTACGATAATTTCGAGTTTAATTTCATTCTATTTAAAATACACGAATACCAACGTGTCAATGAGATATTTAGAATTTGATCTAACTTCGATCTAGATGTCCTTCCTGCGAATTTTATGTATTTCTGTTCATAGCGCTATTTATTCGACGATTTATTCGATTTAAAAATAGTGCGCGTAATTTTTAAACGGTGAAAGTTTGCGGGCCGATAATACTTTCTGCACATGCGATAGCGAAAATATTCGAAAAGTTTCGCTAGCTAGCGTTTGCTTCCACGGCCGAAATATACCAAACATTCCGGTCGTATTTTTATGTACTCGATGCAATTGAGTGCGAACGATTTCTTAATTCCACCAGTCTACGATGGAACAGAGTTCAGTTCGAACGGAGTTGTTGCCTAATCTTAAAATCATCGTCTTAGGTCGTAACGAGTAATTTGTCTTCTTTTTCTGCGGCTAGAGCAGATTACACGGCGAGGTTTTTTTTAATGATAATTCAAATATCGTGCGCTACAGTAATTGGTTCTTATCTGCAGAACGGCAAAACGCAGATTGAAATTACCATTTTAAAAACTAATTGAAGCTTCTCGGCTTCGTTAAAACGTTGAAATTGGAAAAAGAGCGAGAGAAGTAACGAAGGACTGGATATCTTGAACGTTGTCCTCGCGCTATGCAACGTTTTAATTTATATCGTATTAAACGTTGCTTTCACCGCACTATAAAAGTGCTAATCGATGAAAAATAATCATTTTTTCCACTGAATTTCGTCGATCCCAACAACGATCGTATTTCATAGCGGCGCTTTTGGAGTAAACGCGAAGATCGAACGGCATTTTGCAGAAGCACAATCTTTTTAATTATCTTTTAACGATACGCCGCGCCATGTAATTTACGTATCAGGTGAAACGTTTGTTGGAAACGCGGCGTCCCGTAATTCGCGTTAATTGCTATGTTTCTCCGCCGGGTTATGCGCGGAATTTTCTTTCCTGTTCCTAGCTACGTCAAAATGAAAACGATTCGCGGACACATCATCCTGCGCTTCGAATATCAATTTCTGTTAATGAAGTCGTAACATTGCGATATGTTTCGCCGCGAAATGGCTGTTGAACATACAAACTCATCCGGTTCCCCCGGTTAGGCCTAGCGTATTTTAGATCTGGAAAAAGAGGGGAAAGGAAGAGTTCCAGTTTCACGATCGGTGTATCCAAGCAGGCGTAAAAATATAGGCTAAGTGCGCGCGCTCATGAACGCGTATGTATACACGTAGCTATGAAGGAACGAGAGTGAATGAGCGTAAGCGAAGCGCTCCTTTGGCCTCGTAATGAAAGTGAAATCGAGGGCGCCAGAGTGCTTGCTCGGCTCTTCGCTTCACCGCTGTGTGTGTATGTGTGTGTGTGTGTGTGTGTGCCCCACCAGGCACCGCGCACCGACAACGAGAGTTACTTTGGATAGCGACGGAATAGTCGATACGGGGCAACGTTACGAACAAAAAAAAAAAAAAAAATAAGAAGAAAGAAAAAATCGCACACAAGTGAACTTTTCCACAACTCGGCGTACTGGATCGCTGCCATCGAAAATTCCTCCAGTGGAAATAAACAATACGAGCGTATGACGATAAAGATTCGGCAGCGGCCGAGGATTATCGATCGAAAACGAGCGGAGAGAGACAGAAGAGAGCAGAATCGGAGTCGAAGGAAACGTTTTATCACCGAAACCTGTCGATTCCGAAGGATTCGGGATTTACGAGTAAACAGTCACAACGAAAGAGAGAGAGAGAGAGAAAGAGAGACAGAGGGAGAGAAAGAGAGGGCGAGAGAGGGGGGGTGGAGAAGGGGAAAAAATTTGAGAAGGGCTGAATCGTGGCGAGGAAGAGCGGAGGGTACACAAGGTGTCGGCTATCCGTACTGTTGGCGCAAACTTTCACTTTTTTCGTCTCTTCACCCCTCCCTTGCTGTGCTTTGTAAAAAGCGCCATGGCCGGTACCACGTCGTCATTGGTTCATTTTCGTTGAATCTCTTCGTTCATTGGGTTTCCCTTCCATGCACGACTCTCTTTCTTTTTCTCTGCTTTACCTCCACCTCCCCACGCTTCTGTCTCTCTCCTTCTCCTTCTTTTCCCCCCTCGTTGATCCTCTTCTTTCCCTTTCACTCTCCAAGAATCCTCTCTCTTTCTCTGCTCCTCTCGAACTCGCTATCCTCCGTCCCTCGCTCCGACGATATCTCGTCGATCCCCTCCAGCAACCCTCGACACTTCTGGGCACGGCAGGAGTCCTTATGTAACTGACACCATTCCGCTAGAGTAACCGGGACAAAATGCTTCTGATATGGCCCGGTAGGTAGAAAAACAACAGAAACGTTGAAAAACCGAGTCGCGAAATCGAACGGCGCTACTCGAGGGGATCTCCGTTAATCGAAAATAATTAGTATTCCAGAAGAAGAAAGTCGGTACATGGCGAGAATATGGTCTGCCAGAAGAGAATCGGATAGATGTTCGTCAAGGGTGGTTACGACAACAACGCAACTCTTTCGACCAACCGCTTCTCTTTCGACGAAGGATATTATTCGTCGAGCGACTCGTTTAGGCACAGGTTTGCCAAATTGTCGCGACTAGGTAGAGATGTGGATCGGTTCGTCCCGCGAATCTGGAGCGGATTCGACGGTCGTCCGTTCTATTGTAGTCGCCCGTAAGAATTCCGCTTTTGCAATCTTCCCAGGCTCGATTCTAGTTGCGCGCCAATCGACGCTTCAGAAGCGACGCCCGACAAAAGTTCGCGAAACAATGAACGACGTTGCAAATCCGCCGGAGATCCTTGCGAAATGACTCCAGATATTTCTATAATCATATTCCATTGGAACACCGTGAGACGATATTCGTTTCCCTCGATTATAATAATTATCGCCTGCGTTCTACCCCCGCGAAAAGTTCGTCGAGCGGACAAATTAACGAATCAATAAGAAAGAAAAGACGCGCAAATCGCTGGCAAATAATCGGAGAAAGGAAAATTATCGGCTCATTTGAGTATAAAGCGCAATATTAAATTGTTGATTATCATCGTGTATTATCGTTCGAACGGCTTCGATGCGCTTCATCCTGTTATCAACAATTTCTACGTCGCTTAAAAATATGTAAGCGCGCACCTACTTGAATCGGTTTGTCTTGCACGTTCTGCACCGATTCCATTGTGTACGATAATGCACGATGAATATTTACACGGAAAAGGTTAATCGTATTGCTATTAATTGTGCATTGCTTGCAAATCTCGATCGTTCGTCTGAATTAAAGCAGCATCGATTTCGCTATCG